CTAATTTTTGGGGTTTCTAGTTATAAATTTCAATGTCAGTAATAAAACCCCGTTTTAGTCAGACAAAAATATGCAAATTCTGACAATTTTTCTTTTAATACGGTTTAATTGTTTATCGTTTTAATTATCAGTAGTAAAATACAGTTTTTGTCAGACACAGTTTCAAAAAAAATTATTTTGAATAGAAAAATATATTTATAGTCAGACTAGAACGGACGAATTTTTTAAAAATTAAGTAGTTAAAGGCCATTTTAGTCAGACACATTTTCTGAAGGAATTTATTTTCAGTAGAAAATATTATTTATAGTCAGACAAGAACTTTGGAATTTCTTATAAAAAGTAAGTAGTAAAATACAGTTTTAGTCAGACTTAAATTTTTAAAAAAATTTCTTTTCAGTAGAAAACTATATTTAAAGCCAGACATGAACAGTTAAATTTTTTTATACAATAAGTAGTAAAATGCCATTTTAGTCAGACACAGTTTCAAAAATATTTTTAATTTCTGTAGAAAAATATATTTATAGTCAGACTAGAACGGACGAATTTTAAAAAAATAAGTAGTAAAAGACCATTTTAGTCAGACAAATTTTCAAAAAGAATTTATTTTCAGTTGAAAAATTTATTTATAGTCAGACAAGAATTTTGGAATTTCTTATTAAAAGTAAGTAGTAAAATACAGTTTTAGTCAGACTTAAATTTTTTAAAAAAATTCTTTTCAGTAGAAAACCATATTTAAAGCCAGACATGAACAGTTAAATTTTTTTATATAATAAGTAGTAAAATGCCATTTTGGTCAGACACAATTTCAAATATATTTTTATTTTCAGTAGAATAATATATTAATAGTCAGACAAGAACTTTATAATTTCTTATTAAAAAAGTAAGTAGTAAAACACCGTTTTAGTCAGACCGGAAAATTAAGAAAATTTTACATAATTTCTCAGTAGTGAAAGACAGTTTTAGTGGGACAAAATATTTAAAAATATATACTCGTTACTTTGATTTCAGTAGTAAAAGCACTACTAAAGTCAGACAAAATGTTTTAAAATTCTTGTCGCTTTAATATCAGTAGTATAACACCGTTTTAATCAGACCAAAATCTTTTTAAAATGTCTTTTGTCATTTTTAGTGTCAGTAGTAAAAGTGTATTTCATTTAGATTTCACAGATTCTTAGAATTGCAGTATATATATATGTATACATCAGTCGAATAAAAAATACGATTCTATTAAGAAAAAAACATTAGAAAAAATTCTCTTTTGATATCGCATAGAACAAAATTTTAATTTAGACGCATATGAAAATTTAAAAAAAAAATTCTCCCTTCTTTTAGTAGTAAAGCACCGTTTTTGTTAGACAAAAAACTTTTTTTTTCAAATTCATCTCATTTGAGATGAGAAGTAGTAAAAACAGTGTTGTAATTTGGATCTTCCAATTTCTTATATATGTGTGAATAAAGTTTGTATCAAAACTTTTTTAGTCAAGACACCTTGTTATTTTTTGTTTCAGTAGTAAAATACTTTTAATGACAGACGAAAGGATTTGTATTCTTGGCAATTTAGTACAGCAGTGGTAGAAAAAAAATTTTGTTCCTTTTTGTGATTTTTAATTATAACTTTTTTTTCTATTTCAGTAGAAAAAATTTCCTCTACAGTTAGGCAAAAAGATGAATTTTTTATTTATTGTTTTACAGTAGTAAAACACTGTTTTAGTCAGTTTGCAAGTTTACAATATTTTTGAATTTTTTGCTAATTAATTTTTTTTTAATTTCAGTAGTAGAAACACTTTTTAGTGTGACCAAACAAATTTTTCAGTAGTATAACATCTTTTTAGTCAGACAAAATTTTTCTCTCTGTGTGTGTAAAACAAGTTTCTTATCCACGAATACGTCACTGATTCAAAAAATCTACTTTTTCCCTTTTGGAAAAAAAAATTATAATGCATCTGAGTAAAGTTTTTTCTTTTTGCGACATTTTTCCTTCTTTCGTTTTTTTTTTTTAAAAAAAACGACTATTTTAATCATAAAATCTCGGACTTATTTGATATGCGTCTTTAATAATGTGAAATTTGAAAATCTGCAATTCTGAGTAAAAGATAATATAAGTTTGGCGAACAAACGGTGAAGTACGATTTTGCATGAAATGCAGGACTTAATTTACTCTTTAATTACGCGCGTCCTCTGATGATAAGTTTCCGGACGACTTTGAAACTCATATATAAGATTTCTGTCTCTCTCTCTCTCTCTCTCTCTCTCTCTCTTTAGTCTCTCTTGAGTAGATATTGTAATAATTACACTCTCTTCGAAAGCAACATGTCCATATAACTTGTTGCAACTTGCAACATTCCTATTACTTTCTGAGTGACAACAATCAACAGCTCGGAAACAAGAGATAGTTTCAGAGACCGCCTTCATTCACTATGGGTGTATACACGTTGTGAGGGGAGAACTGACCTTTTGAACTAGATAATTAGCATGCAGTAATTGCGACGAAACAAGGTAAAGTTTTACTAGATTGAGCGCATGTTTCTTAATCGTTCTCTACTCTACTCTCTGCTAGTGAAAGTTTTGTATATCCTCATAAAGTGTTCCTTTGCAACAAAATTATTACATGCTTTTGCTTTGAAACTTTGAAATTACTTCTCGCAAGAACGGATGATAAGTATAGGTATGAAAATAACTAACGAGACGGAAATCATATATATATATATGACTTTTCACAAAAAAAATTTTATATCCAAATAAATTAATCTTATACTTTTTCTATGTATAAGATATGAATTAAAAAATATTTATTCAAATTTTTATATATTTTTTTTTCTCTAGGGTAAGTGTACTAATTACGGCGAGTGCACCAATTACGGCGCGTTCATAAAAAATAACTATTATTACTATTATATTTAATATAATTGTTGCCAAATGATTAAGAAAAATTATTTCAATCTTTTTTTGATACAAATACTTATAAAGATGCACATTTAAACAATTATTAATTTAATTATTTAAGATCAAATTTTTTTCCGCGCCGCAATTGAAACATTTTTAAGATTTCCATTGGCTTCAATTTCGGCGGGCAAAGTATCTTCAAAATACATGTAATTTTGGTCACCGAAATTGATACACCGAAACTGATACAAACTCGCCGCAATAGAAAATTACGGTATTAGTTTTAATTTCTCATATTTGTTTAAATAATCGATTTTTATAGAGTTAAAATTTTTTTTTAATATCTTAATAACATAAGCTTTAAGTTTAATAAGTCTTAAATTGGGTTTATACAATAGAAATGTCGAATTTTCTATCTCAAAGGTGTTTTGACTCGAATCTCGCCGCAATTAGTGCATTTACCCTATATTAATGTAAAAAGATTTATACACTTTTTTTTCACTGCAATAAAGTGAAGAAAAAAAAATGTATTTAATTGAAATAATTTTTTATTTCTATCAAATAATTTTTATTTAAATCGAATAAAATTTTTTATTGACAAAAATATAAATTATTTGGTTACAAATAAAATATTTATTCAATAATAATCAAATAAATGATTATTTGAAAAAAATAAAAATTATTTTTTTTCAGTGTCCATAAAAAAATTGTCAAATATAATTTTTAGAGCGTGATACAAATCTGTCATAAAAATTTGCGCTTTATATATTTAAAAAAAATATGATATTCACAGATATGATTTTATATAAATATTATTATACATCAATTTATATATTTTTTCGTGAAACCAGGAACTATATATATATATATATATATACCTAAACGATAACAACTATATATCTAATATGCCATTATTCATTCCCCGTGCTGCTTTTTAACTGCCGCAGGAGCTACTTAACATAAAATATGTTTTCACTCGAATGAAATAACTATATTAATTGAAAATGTCCATTATTATTATTATTATTATCTAAAACTATACAACTTTTAGTGTAATTATTTTTAATAATCAAATATCAAACGTCTATTTTTTATTTTGTTTAATTTATTTTAATATTTATTTATTTATAATAATTTTATATATATTTTAATTTATGTATTTATTTTACTGTTGTATATTTATTCTATAATTTCTGTGATATTAATTTCAATTTTTATAATTGACTAATTTAAAACAAATAGTACGTGACGAATAATATAAATTTCGATTTTTCTTCTAAATTATACAAGGGGTTTTTTTTTCTTTTCAAAGAATATATAAAGTATTTCATTAAATATGAATTTTTAATCTTATCCTTTGCCAATATATGTATATATATAGTAGTTATTTAATAATTACATTTTCATCATCAGATTAATAAAATGAATACAAGTGCACCGTTACAACTAATCGATAAATATAAATTAAAATGAAAAGATATAATTGAATTTGAAATGGAAAACGTTTCATTTCACTTATATATAATAATACACATAATATTTCAATTAATTTTTAGAAACTAAAGCGATTTTTAAATTTACTTTTTTGATTAATCATATAATTATAAGCACAATTCAAATATTTATAATATTAATTAATATATTAATATATGTAATAATAATAAACATAATGATAAAAATATAAATAATAATTAAAATAACGATAAAAATAATAATAAAAATAAAATTAAAAATAAAAATAATAATAATAATAATAATGAAAATAAATTGAAATTATATTATTAATTTGTTAATTAAAATGTTATAGAATATTAAAATTAAAATTTCGAGACCGAAATTATTTTTCGGTAATATGAAAACTGAATAATGAAGCGAGTAAAAAAAAAATAACAATTTCCATATGTGAAACATTTTTCAAATTCCATATTATTTTTTTTTTCCGTTACATAAATCATGTGCAAAATATAATTTAAAATATAATTTAGTGCATATACACCTAAATTCAGAACCCAGAGTTAATATTTAAGAAAACTATTTTTTTCCAATCAGATCGATAAATTCCTTGAGTATAGTGTCGAACAAATAATTTTTTTTTTTTTTTTTTTTTTACTTCCTTTTCAAGTCATTGTTTGCACAGGTTGTCATGACAACGTCACAAAGAATTGTATTTGAAACGGCAACAGTCATTACCTAGTAAACTTGCTTTCGTTTCAGAGTAAAAGAGAAGTAAATTTTTTTTTTTTTGAAAAGAAGTACAAATCAACGTAAATAATTTATAAAATAATAAAAACCCAATTCAAATGTAAGTGTATTTTTTTCTATTTTTGATAATATAAATTTTATAAATTAATATTATAATGTAAAATAAAATATTTGTTTATTTTTTTTTTTTTAATAATACATTTTTTCATAATATATTATCCTCAGATACAAAATGATTGACTTTTATTACTTGCCAGCGAGTGCACCATGTCGGGCAGTTATGATGCTTGCTAAGGCAATAGGTGTTCGATTGAATTTAAAAATTGTTGATATTTTAAAAAGAGAACAATTGAAATTCTCATTTATTAAAGTATGAAAGAGAATTTAATTTTTATTTTTTATTTTCTATAATATAAATGAATATTATATTTATTTTATTTCAGATAAATCCTCAACATTCGATTCCAACATTAAATGATAATGGATTTATTTTATGGGAGAGGTTCGTAAATATATATTTTAATTATATAAGAACAAAATTATCAAAACGTAAAAATTATATCAAAATTAAATTTTATTAGTAGAGCAATAATGATATATTTGGTAAGTCGTTATGCTAAAAATGATGATCTCTATCCTAAAAATCCACGAAGAAAAAGTATTGTCGATCAAAGACTTTATTTTGATATTGGAACATTGTATAAAAATGTTTACAACACCTATGTAAGTATTAAAAAAAATTTTTTTTTTTTCCATTGAAAATTTTTAATTCTTTAGATTTTAATTGGTAACAATTTTTTTTTTTTTAATTTCTTAAAATTAATTTAATATATAAATTGTATAATAAATATTTTTTTATAATTTATTTTATAATTAATAATAAATAAATTTTAATATTTTATAATTTATATATAGTTTGACGTCATGCTGGGAAATATAAAACAACCTCTTGAGAAAGAAGTTCAAGATTTAGAAAAATCATTGGAAATACTAAATATATTTCTTCAAGATACTAAATTTGTTGCTGGAAATTGTTTAACTATTGCTGATTTTAGTATTGTTGCAACTATTAGTACTGCTGAGGTACAGTATATTAACTAAAAATTTAAAAATTTTAACAAAATTCCAATATTAATGAAAAAAAAATTTATTTCTTTTTTATTTCAATTCTAATTTTTTTTTTTTTTTTTTTTTTTATTCAGGCGTTTGGATTTGATATTGCCAGATACGATAATGTTGCCGCTTGGTATAAACGTTGCAGAAATTCTATGGCGAAATTTGATTTTGAAGAAATTAATATTACTGGTGCTAAAATTCTAGGAAATATGTATAAAAAAAACTTAAAACTAGAAACAGGATAACATTTTCAAATTCCCGCCTGAATAATATCTTCCCGTCTGACACAAGTGTAATAAATAAATATTTTTATTTTAAACTTTGTAATATTTTGCTTATTAAATAAAAATTAACTTTAATTAAATGTTTAAAATCTATTTAACACTATTGAAAACTTATTAAATAAAAATTAGATCTCATTATAATAATAATATATAACAATTTTATAATTTAAAAAAATTTCACAGTACGCAATTCATAAAACCGCGCGCATAATTCTACCAATAATAAAAATCCGTTTGTGACAACAACAAACCAAAATTAATCACCTTAAATATCGTAATATTTTCCCTACAAATCTAAAATAAATGTTATAATTTAGTAAAATTGACCAACAACAAAAATCTGTCATCATGGTAAATAAAAACAACAAGGAGAAAATACATACAGGTTATGTTGACAATATTTTAAGGTTATGTTTTGAAAATAGTTGGCGTGACGTGATTGGTCATGTGAAAAACATGTTTCGATAATAATTTTTAAATAGAAAAAATTAAATTAAATTTTTGATGAATTAAAAAAATTAATAATAGAGAAAAATATTCAATTTACCTTAAATTGTAGAAATATGGGTACATAAATTTGTGCAAATATAATACCGTTTTCTTATCGTAAACTCAATTTTTTTGCTTAATCTTTTATAGACTTTTACCGCCAGTGAATAACAATCGCATAAACATCGATGATCGAGAGTTTGTTGCTTGTTACTTTTTTACTCTTGTGAAATTATAGACAGCCCAGGTGTTGGCGCAAATGTCAGCTGTCTAATCTAAAAGGAATACAGATCTGTGATTGGAATATTTTACGGGATAAATTAAACTTTTTAATAATAGATCGTGTTATAATTTTCTAAAGGAACTGTTGTTTATAAAAGGCATGGAGGGCCAGCAGGTTAGTTTATTTATTATTATTATAAGAAAAGGGCGGAACAAGTGACACGCCGACAATAGAAATAACTCGTGTGACTCACTTGTTCTGACAATTAAATTTTTATTGTTTATTATTATTTTGTAAATAATTTATTTTTCTCTAGGTGAGAGCCCTATATGATTTTACGGGTGAACCGGGAACAGCAGAATTATCAATTGTAGCTGGAGAAACTTTGACAGTTATGAGAGATAATGTTGGTGATGGATGGTGTGAAGGTTATAATCAGAAAGGACAATCAGGACTTTTTCCTGCAGCTTATGTTCAAATTGTGGAGGCTGCACTGGCAACACCAGCAGGTAAATTAATAATTTGTTTTTTAAAAAAAAATTCAATTTTCAATGTAAACCTCTAATTGAGAAAGATCCTTTGTAGTTATTTTCATTTACTATATCTGTTATTATTTTTAGAATAATTGATAAAAGTATATCGTTTCACCTCTTGAATTAATGTACTTTATTTTAGATTATTATTTTATTGAATTTTGTCATTATTTAAAATAGAGTTTAAATTATTGTCTATGGCACATGTTGAATTTAAATTACTCTTCAAGTATATGTATTAAAACGTTGACTAAAAACTTTTAAAAGATAGTATATAATTCTTGCTTTAAATAATGCAAGTAAGGTAATATGATACTAGATGTGTTATTTTAATGGGCTCTAGTTAATATGATACTTGATAAGTTTTATTCATACAGATAGTTATAATTTGTATAATTTTCACATACTTTTTCCTAAAATTGTTAATGTTTTAATTTAATTTGTTCATTTTATTGTTTTTATTTTATAAATTTTTGATTAATTTACTTTGTAATTTTATAGGTGGTATGACGGTATCACAACAAAGTACAGGCGAATTTTGGGATGACGATTGGGATGATGATTCTGAAGTTGGTCAAACTCAAGCTTATGTTCCTCCAACACATAAAAATCAAGTGATTCCATCTCAACATTCTGTTACCAATGAATATGGTGATTCAGTTTCAATGCACACTATTCATTCTGTTATATCTGATAAACCAGTTCCAAATGTACCAAAGAAAAACAATAAATTTTCCACTCTAATTAAATCTGGTGAGGATAGCTTTTTACTTGGGACAAAAAGCATTCATGTACCAGAGAATGAGGAGATAATTATCAATGAAACTAATGGACATTGTTATTGGGATTCAACAAACGAGAGTTATAATTGCGTTGTTACATCACCTAAAAAAGAATCAAAACTCAAGGGATTAAAAAGTTTTATCGTTTATCAATTAACTCCCACGGTATGTGAATTATAAATTTTTATAAAATTTAGAGAATTAATTGTTTTTTTTTAATTTCAGTTTAATAATATTCAAGTTTCTCGCCGATACAAACACTTTGATTGGTTACATGAGAGATTAGAAGAGAAATTTTGCTTTATTCCAATTCCTCCATTGCCCGATAAACAAATCTCAGGACGTTATGAGGAACAATTTATTGAACATAGACGAACTCAATTACAAGAATTTGTTGATTATGTATGCAGGCATCCAGTATTATCAAAAAGTCGTGTTTGGGAACATTTTATAACATGTACTGATGAAAAACGTTGGAAAGCAGGCAAACGACAAGCTGAAAAAGATGAATTACTTGGTGTTAATAATTTTAATGCAATTAAATGTCCTGATACACCATTAGATGCAATTAAATTTGATGTTAAAATTGACGCTTTTTCAAGATTTATAAATGGATTAGATCCTGTGGTAAAAAATTTTATGGCAATGGCTGTTGATCAAACTAAAAAACATCAAGTTTTATATAAACGAGAATTTCAAAAAATAGGACAGTGTTTTGTTTATCTTGGCAATGCTTTGGATCCAAGTAGTTTTCAAGTTGAAGAAACTAGTAGAAATAAATTGACGGAAGCATTAAAAATAACTGGCGAAGCATATAATGAAATTGGCAGACTTTATGAAGAACAACCAAAGTTTGATTGGGAACCACTTGGTGATAAATTTCATATTTATAGAGGAATTATTAGCAATTTTCCAGACGTTATCAGCATACACAAGGTAATATTATTTTTAATTTAAAACATTTTTTAGTTACTGTAAAATAACTTTTTTTTGCTAAAATATTTTTGGATATTTTCAAAAATTCTAAAAAGTTTTTAAAAATGTCTACAATTAATATCTTTAAAAGTATTTTTAAAAATTATCTATACAATTTAAAGTCAATTAACCATTGGTATGAAAGCTAAGTACAATTTAAGGAGAAAATTTCTAAAATACCTAAATTAAATATTTCAAAATAAATCATATGACGAAACATTTTTTTTTTTTTTATAAATATTTTACGGTGATAAAAGAAAAGATATAAGAAATTGATTAATGAAAAAAATTTCTTCAGAGTGCAGTACAAAAGAGACGAGATTGCGAGAGACTAGTCAGTGAACACAAAATGGAATCACAACAATTACGTGAACTCTCTCATCGAACAGATATAATAGCACGTGCACTAGGTGCTGAAGAATCTCATTTACTATCTGAACGAGAGGTTCATATAAATCAAGCTATGAAAAATCATTTAGTAGAACAGATTAAATTTTATCAAAATATAGTTAATAAGCTTCAGGAAGCATTGCAAGCTTATGATGGCTGATAATAATTTTTAAAAAATACCATTCTTGCTACAATTTTTTTTTTTTCTGAAATAATGCAGATGTGATGAGCATTATTTCATATTAAATTAGTAATTAATTCTAACAATGTACATCGTACATTAAATTTTATTACAAAATAAGTATAATATATTTAAAATATTTTTGAAAAAATTAATTTAATTTGGCGATAATTAAAATTGAATACTTAATTAATCCAAAGTTTTAATACTTTGGTTTTAAGTGCATGGTATTTATTTTTTTTGTGAAAATTTTAATATTTTCAAAGAATTTTTTTTTTTATACAAACCAAATAAATATTGTGGATATTATGATTTTAAATTTAAATCTTATTGATCTTCCAGGCAGCTGGCAAATTCTTATTTATCTTTGTTAATAATAATTTTTTACAGTTATTAATTTTATAGCCAGTGTCTTGTAAGTAAATTTGTATAAATATTAATTTATTAGTTTAATATGTAATGTGTAAGTTTTTTTTTGTGAAAATTGAAAAGTCACAAGTGAAGCACGTATTTAACTTTTTTTTTTTCTTTTTGTTTAAATGTGACTTTTTACTGATAGTCTAAAATGTGTGCCTTCGTCTTGCGATTTCATTGTATTGACATGATATTTCTTTTTTTTATCATGCATTTATATGAATTTTTTAATTGTAAAATAAATAATGTATATTGAATGTAACAATGTGCCTCTGATAAATGGGCTTTTCTCAATATTTTTTTCTTTTAGTGAAAAATTGTATCAAATTATATTTTAAAAATTGCACATATTTAACACAGCAAATTGTTTAAAAATTCACTTGTGTAAAAAACAAATTTATGTATATTAATTTTAGTATTTAAGTCTGCGTCTTATTTATTTTAATATGTCATATATATATATAAATTATACAAGTTTATAAAATCATGTCTTGCGTTAAAAGAAATTAATTTTATATGTATAAATATTATTAACAAAAAAAAATCATTCTTTTGAATGGAATAAATTGTTTTTAAGTTTAAAAATGTTGCATATTATAAATTTTTATTTTTTATTCACAACGCGTTAGAATTTATAACGTAAAATGAAAAATTTTAGTTTTAATCCTATAAAGTACTTAGAAATTAATTAATACTTTTTTCCAAGAATGTGTGATTTTATTAATGTCTAATTTTACATTTCCCTCCAACGTACAAACCGCACATAAGATTTCGGAGTTCTAAAAAAATAATGGTACTTCGTTGCCTGTTTGTCTTTATAGAATCCCTACACATACATCACATCCACATAAAAACGTGTAACGTAAATATATTTTTTTCATATTTTTAATATTTATATATATATATATCTGGTTCTTTTTCTTTTATCTTGAATAAAGACTTAAAACGTAGGTCAGAGAAAAATTATATAGACTCGATAATAATTATATTAGCACTCTTTAAGTACTATTCAATTCAAACTACCCATTCAAACCGAAGTCTGTTTCTTTACATACGGAAAAATATATTATTTCATTATTTGAATTTATGTATGGCACATTTCAAAAAGGCATTCGAGAAATGAAATCAACACTAATATTACAAAGACAATATTTACAGTAGAATGATTTTTTTTTTTTTTTTAATATAAGTTTTTTTTGGGGGGAGAATGAGGGGAAGGAGGGTAAGTAGTGTGCAATATTATAGTGTTTCTCGAATTCCATTAAAACAGAATAACGTTTAGAAGTTTGCGATTGAAAAAGTATCGTGCGATATAGAAAGTGCGACAGTTAGGAGTATAGTTTTCAAATATTTTGGATAAATATCCAAAAGTTATATTTACAGAATAATAATATTTAAGTACCATAAAAGACAAGGGCAACGCGAAGCAATTTGAGAAGTGTTTGAATTAAAAGTGCTCTTAAAACTGTGCGCATACAAATTTTCTCATTACCATCAGACTTTGACACTAGTTTTTTTTTTTTTTTTTTTCTTTTACATCTAGATGACTATTCCCCTTTCTCTGAAGTTATTATTAACAATAATTTAAAAATTGACTCGAAATTTAAAAATAATTCATCATAGATAATTTGAATAAAGAAATTTTAATTATAAAAGAATTAATTTTACTTTCACCATATAAAACTTCAAAGAAAGTTCTAAGCTTAGATCTAGTCCCTTTTAATTATTCCCACTTGCAGTTTTTCTGCGACTCGATATTTTTTTTTTGGGAGCTAAATTGGTAGAAAAATTTAGATATCATTATAGAAGTGAAAAGACGAAATCAGATGATCATAGTAACGCCTTGAACTTTTTAAATTTGAAAAAAAGACTCAATTTTGAATTTTTAATTATAAATTTTTCGATAAATTAATTGATTATTGTAAAATAAAATTTGGCGCAACAATGAGCAACTGATTTCACAATACATTTTCGAAATGTGCTTCTTATCACAATAGAATATGTCATGGAAATATAAGCTGCAAATTTATTCCTTTAAAAGACATTGCGCTAATTCGCCGCAATATTATTATATATTTGAAATCGCGTGCAGGCAAGATTCTACTTCGTAAACTATAATCCGTGAATATACACAAGGCCTTAACATTAAATTGCGTTTTTAGAACTTCGCGTTGCTAAAATATGAAAAGTGCTGAATTCCAAAGATTGAGCGATTTTCCTGATCCTTTAAAAGCATTTTAAAGTTAATAGATCAGAACATAATGATACAATTAAGGCTGAAGCATATCCTTGCCTACAAAGTGCAATAGTTTTTCTTTTATAAAACATGAGCTTCATTTAACTTGTAACTCTTGATTTAGTCTTTAAACTTCCCTGATAATGAAACGCTCTCTATTTTAATGAACGATAAATTTAAAAAAAAAAATGTAAATAAATAAAGAGAAATGTAAAAAAGGCGTAATAGTGCAAATCTAATATTTTTTTTGCACTTTTATCGCTGACAAGAGAGAGACAGAGAGAGATTAATTTTATCGAACATTTTCAATAGAGTATCGCCGATCTGTTTTTTTTTTGTTTTTGTCTTTTTTATGTCATCCGTTGGCATTCTACAATACATAACGTTCCGTCTTTTTGCGCGATGAAAGACATGCATGTCGTATATCAATTTATAATTAGGTACCAAAGTATTTTTTCGATAAAAGTGAATAACAATTTGCAAGCATATATATAATAATTATATATGTTTAACATCATCCGTGCGTTATTTCCCTATATCGATTTAGCTTTTATATATAGTCATACCTCAGAGCGATTTAATAAAATAATATTTATATCATATATCTTAAGATTAAAGATAATAATTAAAATTATATTTTTATATATTCGAGTCATATAATCAACTAATAAAAATCCATTCGTACAATATTCTTGTCTCGATAGTGCCCGATTTCGGACGGACGTCTACTGTAGTTTTGAGATAATACAGCAAAAATTTTGCTCAATAAGGAGCATTTTTTATTTTACCAAACTTCTCACTTTATTGTATTGCTTCACACCGGTTATATAAAAAAAAATATATATATTGTATATTAAATATTTTGATATTAAATATCTTTTTATAAAAATCTATCTAACAAATTAAATCAATTTTTATTTATTTTGACCCATTACTTTTTAAATTGTAGAAAGTAAATTATTTTTAATCTCTTTCGAGTAGAGTAGAAAATATAATATCATTGTTCATAATACAGAAATACAGTTAAAAAAAAAAAATAAAATAAGAATACAAAATATATATTCAATTTTTAATAGAATTTAATACTGTATTATTAATAATTTAAAGAAATGGGACAAAATAAACATTGTTTAACTATTTTCAGATATGTTTAGATCTAAAATAAAATTCGTGAAATTAGAATTTTGAAATCTAAAATAAATGTATATACACCTGTAATATCAAATTTTTAAAATGTTTCCATTTTCTTATTATATCATATATATATATATATATATATTTGAATAAAAGTAAGAAAATTGAAAACATTCTATGATATAGTTATAGTGTTAAAGAGATTCTGGTCCCAGAAATATATCTAAGTGAAAAAATCGAAAAAAAATAACTTTTTTTTTCGATGGAAATAAATATGAGAACATTTATTGTCTCTATTAAAAAGATCTAAACTAAGTTTCACACTCAGACCCCTAAGTTTCATCACCTTTTTACACTTTTCTGTTTCTCTTATTTCATTTTATAAAACTGAAAAATTAGAGAGCTTATTTACACTATATATCTAATAGCAATTCAGGTACCCTAGATTAATTATCAACATACATTTACTTTGGATTTCAATAAACTGTTTTCACATTAATAGTAATTAAAAAAAAAAAATAATAAAACTTTTTCTCTGAATTAGTGTAGTAAAAATTTTAATTAAAAATTTAAAGAAATCATTTAATGATTGTTTAATTCCTGTGTAATTATATTCATTGTCAATATCACAATGTTATTTTATTGATTGTTTAAAACTTTTAAGTCAAAAAAAAAAAAATTAAAATTCTATTATAGAATGTATACATCACAGAGTTGATTGTAGTCTTTTCTGTCTTTTTTTTTTTCTTCTTTAGAAAATAATATATAGTATATATCTATTATAGTTCAAGGAACAGACACCGGTGTGAGCACAAACAACATTTTTTTTTTTTTTTTTTTTTTATCCATTTACCGTGTTTTCTATCTACCAATTCGAGTTCTAAAAATAAACAGATAAAACTGTTTAATCGAATACGCAATATGTATCTGTGCCTGACGATCGATACAACTGCAATTAACTTTGAATTTCATAATACCATCAAAATTAAATGTTTGATGTTAGCCGTCAGAAAGTTTTCTATAACTATAACTTTTGTAAAATGAAAAAATAAACAACAAAATAAAATTCTAAACCCAAAAAAAAAACGAAAAATAATAAAAAAAAATTTTTAGAGAAAAATTCTCTCGAATTTCTCTTATATAGCTGCATTTCATAGACTGTTTTTTTTTTCATTTATTTCTTCCTAGAAAATAAATGCTCATTACTAGGATAATTTTTTGATTTCTCAAAATTAGCATTTTCTTTTTTTTTTTAACTAGCTACCGTTCTATTTGTCGAAATTAACCGCCTCCATTTCACGATAAAGACGCGATAAATCATCGATTCTCACGAGGCTAGATTTGTTTTTTTTTTTTTTTTTGTTACGTATTTCATTTACTCTTTTGTAGAGTGTAAATTTATTCCGTAAAAGAGCTGTATTTGTATTCAGCTCTTTTTATGCTTTCGTTGTCTCCTGAGATATGAGACGTTTGATTGAAAGAGAGTCGATAGTGCAGTTCTTGTATTCCCCCAAAGTTTGAAGCGTTTATTGCGCAAGTAAAGCGGTGAGCTGGTAGCGCCTTGGAAATGAGGGTGATGATGATGATGATGAGAATTCGTAGCCACCAAATTTGATAGTAATGTTGGTGACTCGGAATTAATCTTCAATTGCAATTGGTCGGTGGTCCCGATGTTCTGTGAGGATGATTGGGATTGGATTGATCCGGTTGCGGCGTGAGGTTGCCGGTGGAGAGGCCTGTCGACCCTGTGCCTTGCTGCTGCTGTTGTTGCTGCTGCTGATGTTGATGTCCGCTGTTGAGTGCCAAACGTTGCATCTGCCTGATGACCGTGGCCGCATGATATGCTTGCTGCAACCATGAGACAACAGGAAGTCTTTCCAATGGAGCCTGGCGAGCAAAACATTACAATCAGAGAATCGTTATAAAATTTATTTATACGTTACCTTCCACCTTGACTTGGCAAAGTTCTTTTTAAGTTGTTCCGATACAGTACCATGGATATTTTTATTGCTAGCCGCATTTCCAGATATCCTGCAACAAGAATCAGATTTTCAACAAAAAAAAAAAAAAAAAAAAAAAAAGAAATCTTCCAAGTTTCGTCGCCGATTTTGACAAAATAGGAAAATAAAAATTTAATATTTAAAAATAAATATTTTTAAAATGAAAGGAAAGAAAAAAAAACCTGAAAAGAAAAAGTTAAACGCAATATTCTGAAAAAAAAATTCCCTTCAAAACCTACCCTTATTTGATAACCCTCATAATCAAAGAAAATTCGTCAAAGTCTTTTCAAGTTCAGGATCGAAAAAGTTTTATTACCTCAAAGAAGGGTGGATTTCCAGAGCTCGACAATATTTTTATCTTTTTGCGCTCATCATTTTGTAAAAAAAAAAAAAAAAAAGTTTTCTCTACTATTTTGAAAAAATTTAATTAATTTTCAAAAGAAAAAAATTCTCATTTTATTATTTCTATATATCAACAATAGTCTTATAAAATACAATGAACTCTACAATGTCATTAAAATTTAATGTACACTTTATATTTACAGGAAAATCGATATTAGGAATGTAAAGACAAGAATCTATTTCCCTTGCTATTGAGACATAAAAGTACTGAAAATGTGTATAATATAATATTTTGATAGTTGAACATAAACGTAAAAAGTAAACGATGAAATAAAAAAAAAGTCGAGTTTTAGAAAATAAAAAAGAAATCTTTCAATACTACAATTTAGAATTTACATTTTCAAATGGATCTTAAAAAAAAAAAAAAAAAAAAAAATGAACTCACCAAGGATGCGCTAGGGCTTGTTTACACGTGTAGCGCTCCTCCACGTTGACACACATAAGTCTACTTATGAAGTCCTTAGCAGAATCGCTGATATCGTCCCAGTATGGAGAATCGAATTCAAATTCACCTACAACAATCTGGTTAGCTTTTTGCTATAAAGAGTAAGATTTCGTTGCTGATTTATTTTTTAAATTATAATATGAAAATTGAAACATTTTTCTCTATTATTAAATTGGCTAATTAAGACACACGCCACATTATATATATAAATATATATATATATAATTCAGATCTTATCATTATTTCAGAAACATTGAAAAAAAAGATAATATTGTACACACGAAAAATCTCACGCACATCAAATCCTTTACTTACTACCCTATGTACGTATTATAATGCTGCAATTGTAAACTAGAAATGTACCTTAAAAATGAAATTATAAAATTAACACTTTTTATGTACAAATCAACTACAATATTGTAAGTTTAAACTTATTAAAAGAGTGTTATTTTCTTTCTTCCCCTTTGAAATAATCTTTTTTTTTTTTTGTTGATGTATAAAGAAATGTTTTTGTAAAGAGACTATGTACATAAATAGATTTCTTTGTTTGATATGCATGCCATTACCTTTTAGAATCTGAGCAAAGAGATTGGCGTCATTTTCGTCATAGAAAGGAGGATAACCACACAATAGAATATATGAGATGACACCTATACTCCAAACATCCACTGCTTTACCGTAAGGTTTTTGAGCCAAGACTTCAGGAGCTGAAAATAATCTTGGTAATTCTATAGCATTTTCAGATAATAATTTCTTTTTTTTTTTTTTTTTTTCCTCAACGCAAAAAGGTAATTTAATTTTGAGATATCTTCTTTGTAAACTCACCTACATAACCGGGTGTGCCACATGCTGTGGCCATAATTCCAGAGTCTTCCATTTTTGATAAACCAAAATCACTAATCATTATTTTACTATCTTCATCTGGACTATAATAGAGAAGATTTTCAGGTTTTAAATCTCTATGTACAACACCTTGTTCGTGCATATAATCAACAGCTTCAAGAACTTGTCTAATTAAATCTGATGCATCTTTTTCTGTATAGGAACCTTTTTCAACAATTCTATCAAATAATTCGCCACCGGTAACTCTGAAATAATTTTCATTAATTAGCTATTTATTATAATTTTCATGTGTGCAAACAATTTTCCAACAACTTACAATTCCATTATGAGGTAAACTTTATGTTTATCTTCAAACGTTTCCAATAATCGAACAATATTGGGATGTGTTAACCTGAAACAAAGTTAATTTTTTCTTTTAATACAATCTCATTAAAATGTTCTCTCAAACCACATGCAAAAGGGAGATAACTATATAATAATAATAATAATAATAGTAATAATAATGAAACCCCTGAACAATCATGCGAAAATTATTTTTCATTTAAAGGTTCTCAAAATAAAATTTTTTCTCAATTAAAACACACATTTTATGTTAGAAAAAATATTCAATTATTAGCTTTTGTCCTATGTGTATAGTGTTTTATTTTTATCAATAAAGTAATATTTTGTTTAGCGATAGAGAGACATTTTTAGAACAAGTACTCAATCAGAAAATCTAACTGAATCAAGTTAAAGTAAATAATCTTCAGCTTTAATCTCATAAATACAGTCACACTTGTCTAAACTTGACCCCAAAATTAATGCAGATTCAGAATCTAAATAGGGTTTTATAATATATACACTTTTTCCTAGATATTCTCCTATCTCTATTCTAGATCTTTTTTTTTTCTTTTTACTTGCTGCTTTTTTTGTACAGAAATTACCAAGAATACATAAATAGGAAATTAAAAAATTAATCCAATTAAAAATGTATGTCTTTTATCTTACTAGTTATTTTAATTTGTAACTGAAAAAAAAAATATTAATGAAACAATAAAATATGATTTAATTTGAAACAATGTATAGTTAAAATTTAATTGGAAACAGTGTTAATTAAAGTAATTAATGACACCCAGAATGTATATTCTGCAAAAAAAAAAAAAAAACGTGCATATTTTTAACTATCGAACCAACCAGCTGTAATAAGAGTCTACTTGTTACAGTAACTAGCAAAAAGCTATTTTTTCTTTTTTTTTTTTTTTTTTTGAGAATAATAATAAGAAAGCTTTATATAAAAAAAAAGGCAATACGTGAGACAATAAGTTAATTGCAGTATATGTTTATGTAATGTTATATATGAGGCAAATAAATGTTTATACATTCACAATAATAATTTTTGTATTAACATATGGTTAGCCAGATGCTTGCGTGGACTTGAAAAATCCATAAAAAAAAAATATATTAGGGAAGGGGTTATTGAAATGCAAATAAAAAACGCGAAACACCACAACATAAGCACCTGGTTTCCAGCTGAATTTTTAAAAACTAGACACCTGAAGACGATGTCATATGTAAAATAAATGAGAGTACGATTTTGTTATTACCAGTATAATAATTTCTAATCAGCATCATCTTATACACACTATAATATAAATGAATAAATTATTTCAGTATTTTTATTACTTAATTGGCCCATTATTAACCATTTATAATTTAAGAATCGTTAATTTACATAATATATATGATTATCTAATGTGTGTTCTAATGAATTTGTGAAACTGTTTTTTTTTTCAAATAAATCTATTTTCTACTTTTTGATATAATATTTGGTAATATAATAAAAATATTGATGCAGTACAAAATATTCTAATATAAATAATTTTATTTTCATTTCTTGTTCAGAAAATTGAACGCTGTAAAACAGCTGTTCATAAATTGCAAAAGAAAAAAAATTTTAAAAAAAGACAGGCATAATTATCATATTGCAAACGGGAATATAAACAAAACGTGCTAAAGATAATCGTTTGATAATATATATATATAGTGAAATAGTAGGTCGGCAAAGAGAATTTGCACTATACACACTTTAACATTAATTGAAATTCTAAATTATTTGTAAACTCGTTTATATGGGGGAAAAAAAATTAAATTTACTAAAATGAACTTTTAATTTTACAGAGTGCTTATTACTAAATAACAGAAAGAAGTTCAAGTTTACTGAATATGATCAAAACACAGTTTTGGAAATTGTTCTTTCAACAAAATATAAAAAGCACTTTTTTTTTATCATTCCCTCAAAAATAATTGATAAAAATTGGTAAAAAAAAAAAATAAAATAGAAAACAATTTTGTGTTAAAATTTTCAAGACGATTCCAAATAATAAAAAATTCAAATGTAATCATGTAAAATTTGATAACTACTCCTTGACCTTTAAAAAGAAAAAAATTAGAAATTTCTTTTTTTTTTGAAATGTTATGAAATCTCCGCACGTGTTAATTTTATATGTATTATTCCTTTTACATATACTTATTAACAACTTGAAAAGTTGAGTTGCGGGCAATAAAATTCCGAGGTCTGTATTTATCATCGTAATTTAGTCTAAGCTCTATAGGTTCTAGCCCAGCTTTAAATGGTTAAAATTAGCCAGCTTTAATGATTAATGATCAGAAGGTCACTTCTTTTGAATATATGTATATATTGAAACCATTACCAAAACTGTGTTGCATGATAGAGAGAGAGAGAGAGAAAAAAAAAATTGGACGTGCATGAAAATTGTTATATGCAAATATTCCAGCGTGCTTTATTCAAGTTGATACCGAATTTTTTTTTTTTTTGCATAGTCAAATGATATAAAAAGAGAGTGTATGTGTGTGGAATGGTAAAGGTAGTTGGCGCCTCTAAAGGGCCCACACTTACCATTCTTTTTCGCCACTACTATCCGACTTGAGCGACCCATTACCACTCTGTGTCACTGATTCACTGAACCTACGAATTATAATAACGCCATATACACAATAAAACATATTATAAGAATTTACATTTTGCAAGTAATATTTTTTGCTTTTTAAGAAATTGTTTTTTTTTTTACAAATATTTCATCTCATTTCTTACTCAGGGCCTTCCTGATATTATCTAGATAATTCATCGCGAATTTGTGAGAGATATACTGAAACTAATATAAGAAAATAAGGTGTGTGGAAAAGCGTACTCAGATATAACTTTAGTGCATAATAATGGCTGTGAATGATCGTCTTAAGGTCACCAGGTTTTTTTTAAAAACTAGTTTTCTAAATACTCAAAAGAATTTTCATGATCAGAATGAATATCATTTCTCATGCGCACTATTCGTGCAAGAAAAAGGAAATTTCACAATTAATAAACAATTATAAGGAAAATTAACTTTAAAAAAATATATATAAAAAAAAAATTAAAAATTAAATTATGTTATTTTAAGAAACAAAAATTAAAATTGGTTACAGTCACCATAACTGTTAATTATATTATATATTAGCATAATTACTCCAAAGTTTATCTGAAGGACGACTTTACAAAGGGTAAAAGGGTTTTAAAATAGAAAAAACAAACACTAACGCAAGCGATTGTTTATAGACGTGTAAAATATTACCTGAAAATAAAAAATTCATTATTATAATTGTCAATTAGAATAGTGAAAAAATAATATTAGTCATTAGAAAAGATATGAAACTTGATTTTACATTTACAAAATTGAAACAAAAAAAAAAAATCAAAGCAGCTGTCAGTGTTCTGTATGTATATTAAGAGCTGTTAGCGTATTTTATTGAACAATGTAGGACGATCAAGTTTAATCGATAAAAGAAACGTAAGCAGTCACAGTACAAATATTTTTTCTGTCGTGTACTTACATCATTTTATATATGTATATATTTATATAATTCACTAAAAAAAAAAAAGGAATAACATTCCAAAAATAAATTTTAAATATTAAAAAAGCACACTAATTAAACATGCGTATAATAAAAAGTGTAAATAATCAAGCAACTCTCATATCGTCTCCAAATCCATTATATAATATAGAAATATTTATTTTATAATTAAAAAAAAAAAGCAGCTGTAGCTATTAAAGATTAGAGAAAAAATTAATTAGATTTCATTTCACAGAAATCAAGAATCGTACCTTCGTAAAACTTTAATTTCATTTTCTAAAGAATCTTCCTTTCCTTTGAGCGCTTTTTTGTCGATGATTTTTACAGCATACAAATCTCCTGGTCTTTCTTTACTTTCAGCCAATCTTACCTCCGAAAAAGCTCCCCTAAAAGTAACATTTTTTTTTTTTTGTTATAAATATTACATGAATTTTTAAATTTTCATCTATTATCTTAATATTGCGGAAAAGATTAAAATTTCGAGAAAAAAGAACAGAAAAGACAACAGGAAATTAATTTATGATTTGCGTGAAGGAATATAAGAAATAAATATTTATATAAAGGAAAAATTAAAAATGTAAAAAGTCGACTTATGTAAGTTAAAAGCTGTTGATAAACAAGTAATGTAACTAAAGCATATATATATATATTAACAAAATTGACAAATATTGGGTATCAATTTTTCACGTATTGTACTTTAAAAAAAACGTTGATATAAATTTTTAACATCACTGATTGTGAAACAATTTTATACCGTGCATTCTTTTACGTATGGATAAGTCACGTTTTATTTTGTTTTCTTTCTTTTTTTTGTATTATTTTAAATTTCAACATTTATTAAGATGACACGAATTTTTCTTTTTCTGGAAATGAAAAAAAAAAGATCGTCTCAAATATGTCGAGCAATGAAAAAGGATAAAGAGGGTCATGTCCTTCGATCAAATTCATATAGGAATCAATCAGCCAAAAAAGGGGACAAATGTTTTTCAAGAATATAATTTTACAATCTTGTTCGCAACTTTTAAAATTGAGAACCAAATTTTAAAACTTAATTGTTTTTTTTTTAAATAATATTACAAAAAAAAAAATGTACAAATATAGAGTATTATTCTTTCTTATATGCAAGAAAATAATATCAAATAAAAATAATTCATCGTTAATGTTTCTTGATAACAACAAATGTAAAAATGTGTTTATTACTTTTTGTTAAGATATAATCATTAAGCACGTGTCAGTTAAATGAAATCGACGTTACGAAATTTACGAAACAAAAACTATTAAGACTCTTGAAATTACATATTGAGTAGAATTAAGTTCAATTGTATGATTAAATAGCCGTGAAGATTAAAAATGAGAAAAAACGTTTGGCATAAACTACTTTTTTTTTAATTCATGTTTTTTTTCTCTCTCTCTCTCTTCTTTCTGCATGTGTAAATGCCTAATAATATATTCCGGGGTACTAAAAGTCAATAGCTTGGAATCAGAAGTGTTCTCTGTATATTATATATATAAACCGGTCTTCCATAAGTATATAAAAGATATAATGTGAAATTCGAAGAAATTGAATGCATAAATATGGGAAGATATAGCAAATTAAAAAATTGAGAAATTTGTACCTTCGATGAATATTTAATTTCAAACATTTACAAAAATTTAATACGAAAATTATACCTGAGATAATTAGATTTATTTTTACAATTACATTTTCTTTTTTTTTTATGTTGTAAATATTGAACTAAAAATTAAGATTTTAATGAAACAAAAAAAAAAAAAATTTTTTTTCAAATATTGAAAATTATTTTGAGAAAAAGAATAATTTTTAATTGAAATTAAATGACATTTTATCAGGAAGTAATAATTTTCTCGCTAGTGGTGTATTGGTTATTGGAAAGTGATTATTCAAGTAATAACTGTATTAGAATTTAACTTAGATTAAATGGGACACGGTTAATATCCGTTTATTGTCGATAGTTATAAAATCAGTTTAATTATTTTCTATAATTAACTAATTAATACAAATCATTATGTGACATTGAATTTCTATTTAAAAAAAAATTTAAGAATGTGATTAAAATTTAATTGTTTAATGTTATATTTATTGAATAAGTCAATGCGCATTATTTTTACGTGATTAATTTAATTTCAGAACGATTTATTTTGTATTTCATAAAAAACCTGAATGTGAAAGCTTCTGATTTGGAAACAAACCAAACTTTCAAGTACAATGCTGCATGAATCTGAAAGTTTCATTTGGAGTGAATCCAAATTGGTTTCAATTTTTTAAAAAATAAGGAAAATCGAATCTTTTTAAAATGATTCACATTTTATTTCATTGAATATTTAAACGAAATAACTAGAATCTAATGCGTCATGTAATTTATATTGCATTATAACTTTAAAATTGATTTCAACATTGTGTATAAGTTATATAGTCAAGTTTTTCATGAGATTTTTTTCTTTTTTTTTTTTTTTTTTTTGATGACAAATTTACATCTCTATCACTATCACTGATTACGTAAACTCTAAACAATTTCCAGCCTAATATAGGTCAACTCATGTCCGTTATTATCGTGCAATCAATTTGCATTTAATTTTGCAAAAATCTCTGAGTCTTTATTTCATAACAACTCAATGAGATAAAAATGAAAGAGATACTATAAAAACATCTTTAAATAAGCCAGCTAACTTGAACAGCTTCAAAAAAAAAAAAAGAAAGAAAAATAAGGCGTATGTCAAAGGTCAATCTCAGAAGAACTCTCTGTCTCTCTCTCACACTCAGAATTTCCATAAGGTCGATTGGAAAAATACAAATACATAAAAAGAGTTCTCAACAGGTTCATGTTTGTTTTTCTTTTTCCTTTTGATCTATTAAATTAAATAATTTTACAATTTTAAAACTATAATTCAAATTATAGTAACAATTGTACAAATATTAGAATGTTGGGAGATTATAAACCAGCTGTCCAACTGTCATAGCTTGTACAAATGAATGAAAAATGAGATCTGAATATAGACGCACTGTATCAACATTTTTTTTTTTTTTTTTTTTTTCCTTTCTTTTGACGTACATACTCGAATAGAAAAAACAAAACAGACACGAAATGACGTAATAAAATAAAACAAAAACAAAAAACACAGTAATTCATTGTTTTGCAATAGTGTACAAATGTCAAACTACTCACGTTCCAAGTAATTCTTTCAGCGTGTACTTTTCATCGATGGATGGTGATTTATCATCCTTTCCATCCTTCTTAAGTTTTTTGTTTGAATCCTTTTTTCCAAAAAGTGGCATTTTTGAAAGTTTTCGACGGACTGCCTTTCCCAGACGGTCAACCTGGCGGTCTTGAGCCCCAGCTGTTAGTCCGTCCGGTCTATCTCGAAACAGTGACAGGTTGTACTTGTTGACGAAAAAAAATTGACAATAAATGATATCAAGTCCAAAAAAGTTGACAATAATAAATATTGACTTGAGATGATGCAAAAATAATCACGACAAATTGCCAATTGTAAATTTAAAATAAATTTTAATATAATTTATTTTTTCGTATTGTGATGCGCTCCTTCCCGATCGTGTTGAATGACTATACACACTAACTTGTTCTTATATTCTATTCCTTTAATGGATGCTTGCGCGTCGCGCTACCTACACCACTTTTTAATTCACTCTATTTGCTTGATCAATCTCTATCTATCTCTCTCTCTCTCCTTCTCCCTTTTGACAGAAAATCCCACGAGTCTTAAAGCAAACTATGCATGTCCTCTTGATCGACAATCAGGAAATCCGTTCTTATTACAGACTCAGATGAACGAGTCTCGCAGCTTTGGCACGTACGACTAACTAACATTAGTCTCTACTGAATTCTACTGAGTTTACTTGTGAATCGAGCTCAGGGTCGCGGCCTCGCGCCCTCGCGGAACTACTGATAGCAACAGACTAACCCCCTTATCTTTTTTATCATCATTAATCAAAGCTTTCTTCGAACATAAAAAATGTTTATAAAAGCTTGTACATGTCTTGAAAGATATGACGTTAATATGAAAGTGAAAGTTAAAAATTAATTTTAATATTTGTCAGCTCAATCGGTATTTAGCGGCACCTTGCGTCAAAAAACCAATCTTGATTACTGATACTTATAAAACATAAAAGTACGAGTACGAGGTTCAATATGTAGAAGGATTTTGCTCCTGGTGGAGATTGCGTACTACGAAAATTATGACATCAGTTTTTTTAAAGAGGTTATGTTTACTATACTATTATTTCCTTTTGATTTTGTCAAAAAATATCACTTTCATAAACAATTCTTCGCGAATATTAAGATTTATTAAATTATCCTTATTTTCTTTAAAATATATATATATATATGTAAATTCACTGTAAATCTTATAAATTAAAGTATTCACTGATAACCTTGAAAAATCAGAAAGGATCAAAAATGACAGTTGTCAAATCCTTAAAAAACATACAAAACTTTTGTCAACAGCAATTTTCTATTAAAAAGAAAGTAATAAAGCGAAATATTACACATTCTTAATGAATTATTTGGATTTTCAATGAAATTAAAACTTTTTTTCACTGAAATTAAAGGCCAACGCAGAATAGAAACGTAACCGGAATCGTAATCGTAAACGCAACCGGAAGAATAAGTTAGAGAAGGACAAACAATCTATCTATCCTTCTCTAAATCATTCTTCCGGTTGCGTTTGCGATTATGATTCCGGTTACATTTCTATTCTGCTCAGGCCTTAAACAAAATATTTACTTTTTCAAGTTTAACTGTATAGCAGAGGTAGTGCCATCTTTAGTCAAATCATCACTGATGTGAAGTTAGCAACACAAAATTTGTAAATTTAACTTGCCTTTTTTAATTAAATATATTTAATTAATAATAAGTAATACTGTAATAATTAAAAATTATATTAACCAAATAAAAATGCTTAATTAAAATTAATATTTAATTGTTATGTAATTTAAAAAATAAATTAAAAATATAGTCGCGCATTCATTTTCCACCGTTTGCGCATTTTCTATACAGGCGCCATAATTTAAATAAAGAAAATTATAACTTTTCCCAATCTAAAAATGTTTTTCTATTTTATTGAATCTGTCACTCTGATAATATTGTTAATCAAATAATAAAAGTTTTTAAATCCAATACTATAAATGAAAATATTAAATAAATTAGATTATATTTTTAGAATGTGGTAACAATGTAGTGCTAACTTTTGGCTAATTTCACACAGTTTAGTCCTTTAATCTGAATCAGCTGATTGCGCAAGTGTCTGAAGAAGAAAATCTTCTTTTATTATAGAAAAAATTAAATTTATTATTATAAAATAATGTCAATTAAATATTTATTTGAAATCATACGATTATAATAATCTGTTCAACAGATTATCGTCATATTCCTGATGAAACGGTATGAATATTGTATATGTCAACATTAATATGAAATTGAATAAAAATATTTTTTTTTTTTTACAGCTCCTGTAATGAAAATTTTAACTTTAAAAAATGTCAAATAACACGTGCCAAATTGAACAATGATAAAATCTCTGGAGGATAATAAGAAATTTTCTTCTTAATGACACGTAACGATATAACCTCAAAAATATTCTTTTTGTTGGGAAATAAATATAATAAAATTAAAACAAATTATTTATTTCTTTTTTAAAATTATGACATAGCAATAGACAGCTTCTTATAGAATTCTAGAATGTCTAGTTTAATAAATTTAATAAATTTAGATACAGCTTCTCATTATATTAACGAGGTTATTTTGTACTGGTGGTGGTACATAATTGAGATCTCATGGCAGCTTTTAATAGCATTCGTAGCATATATTTGCACTTGTGTATTTCTTTATTTTGTTTTAAAACAAGTGAATCATAAAGCATGGCAAATACCAGGTCCACCAAACAGAATATTGCTCTTAATAGCACATCCAGACGATGAGGTCATGTTTTTTGGACCTCTCATTTATTGGTTGGTTCGAATGAAAGCTAGCCAGATTTATATTCTTTGCTTTACTAATGGTAAGTTATTTTATTTTTATTTTTTAAATAAAATATTTAGAATTTGTGTAATATATTGAATTATTTTCAGGTGGAAATAAAGAAAGAAAAGAGGAGCTTTGGGAATGTGCAAAAAAATTGGGTATATCAGAAGCTAATATTACAATTTTAATGTGAGTTAACGAACCCACTTGTCGTATCCTGCTTTCATTTAAAATAGCTAATTTTATTTTTGCTTGCACTTTGAAAAACGTATTTTAATGTTTGAAAATTAACTCAGGTATACAAATATTTGTAAATATTGTTTACTTCTTTCGCTCATATATATAAATGTCTTCATAGGTTCATAAAAGAAACCTGTTACAATGCAAGTATTTTTTGGCATATATTGCTTCTAGCTAATAATAAAATAGTCGCAGCTATTTTAATAGTAATTTAATAATTTATTTAAAATGTAGAATTTTAATTATTTTTTTTTTAGGTACACAGAATTACCTGATGATGCAAGGGTACAATGGTCAGAAACTTTAGTGGCAGATAATATTTTACACTATATTGAACTCTATAAAATAAATGCAGTTATAACGTTTGATAAATATGGAGTTAGCAAACATAAAAATCATATATCTCTTTTCTATGGAATGGCATCCTTATGCATGGACCGAAAAGTTCCCGCCTGTTAGTATTTTATTAATTTTCCATATAATTCAATAATTATATATATATATTTTAGTTAATTTAATTAATTTTTTTCTAGATTGTAAATTATATGTTTTGGAGAGTGTAAATATTTTAAGAAAATATACACAAATACTTGACCTGCCAATTAGTTTATTGTCTGCTTCCTATTGGTATATGGTGACGTATGATCAAAGACAATACATAAAGGTAAATAACAATTTTTTTTCATAATAAAAGAAAATATAAATAATAAACTATCTTATTTTTCTTATAGAAAGCTATGAAAGAACATAAATCACAATATGTTTGGTTTCGTAAACTTTACATGATTTTTTCGAGATATACTTTAATTAATACATTTCAAGAAGTGAATTTTTTGGATTTAGAACTTGACCTTCAATTTGAAGAAGACTAATTTTTATATTAGTATTCGTATTTAATTGTAAATAGTTGTCACTAATATAAATGATTCTGTACAAAATAAAAATTTATGTTTACTTAATACTTTGAAAGTTTTTCTTTTAAAAAACACACAAAACCAATTTTTTTTTGAGAAAATTACTTTTATTGCATCCAATAACATAAACTTATAATAATTTAAATATATATATATATATATAAGCATATAATAGTATTTCAGAGATCAGTCCCGATATTTGTGTATAATAATAAACATATGTATCAGGAGCGATAAACGTACATCTGCTAACAATTAAATAATTCTTTTAAAGATATATTAAAATAAACAATACACAATTTTTTTTTTTTTTAAATTGATATGTTCGTTCTACATTAACATTACATTCATTCCTATTCTAAATAGTCTTTAGAAATTTGAAACTGCTCGAAAATAGCAGTCTTATTTTTTCATAAACAATATTATGTCGAAATACATTTTTGTATAGATTTTTTTTTAATCTCAAAGATTTTTTTCTTTTTAATTTTTCTAAATTTTGGCACAATGTTAACTTGTGCTTTACGCAAAAAAGAAAAAATCATTGAGCGCTTATTCAAATATTGTCAAATTTTTTTCTTTCTTTTTTTTGAGCGAAACAAACGTGCTAAAACATTAAACTTAACTTAATGGTGACATCTTAACTATATTAAAAGACATAAAAAATTACTATATAAAAAATAATGTATATATAAGTAAATTTGTTTTTATCGACTGGTTTGATGTTTTCGAAACTAAACAAAGTTTCTTTTTTGTATATTAATGAATTTGATAGAAATTTATAATTTAAATATTTTGTTTGTAAAAAAAAATTACAAGCTATATTAAAAAACTATAGAATCGTTGGTAAGAAGTTGAAAGTGTTGAAAGACGAATTATTTCGTTTTCGCGATTGTAAGCTCACAGTATTTATCACTTATGATGTAAACGATGCAAAAATTACTATTAAAAAATAGAAATATTCTCAATCTCAGCTATGGAATGTATTTTCGTTTAACACAAGTTATTGATTTTTAATAGGACTTATGAAAATTATAATCCTGCCAATGAAACTTTTTGTTAATACTGAGTAAAAGTAATAAGTGTAATTATAAATAAATTGAAGCAAGCTGCTCAACATTCAATCTGAAATTTAAATGCGCGTTTTAAATTTTATGAAATGCAACAAATTTGCGCCAGACAGTCAAATTATTATCGAATACATCGATATGTTTGAAATCTTATTAAATAGAGCTTGGCGCTTATATAGATATATACATATATTATAATTTTTAGAATAATAATTTGTTTTTAAATAGTCTCAAATAATGGACGGCATTAAAGTGTTCCCGCAAGATCCTCTGGTCAATGAAATATCCGCAACAATTTAGCGACCTATAGATCGTAGCGGAATTTATATCCATTGATAGTTGAATGATATGTCAAAAATTGTAATTTTTGTTTGATAAATTATCAATTTTTCATTTTGAATATCATATACAACTTCATAGTAAAATATAAAAGATTTTTGTGTATATTGGACATTCGCGAAAATTGCGCGCTTTAAGAGAGAGAATAGAGTTTAGAGAGACAGATCGATCGCTAAAGAGCAACTCACCCTTTTATATCCTATATATATATAGAAGAGTATTTAGGCTTATTAGGGATTCATGAAGATCTCGCGGGCAGTATCCTAAAATCTATCTTTATCACGATGATGTGAGCTCAAAGTTCCCATTCCAGGTTGAGGAGAATCAGGATCACTGGGATCTTGAAGAAATTGAAGCTCTTGTAATTCTTGGAATTTTTCATGATCACGAATATGTGCATAATTTGCCGATAAACACATTAAATAATGTATTAAACTCAAAACGACCAACATTGATGCTACTGTTGCCAAAATGAACATTACTTCTGCCTTTTCTACATAATCTCTACAAAAAAGTTTCACTTCCTGTGCTCCACATACTTTTAAATCTTCTGGTCTTATTTTATTCGGAAACATGAAACCTAAAAAATTCATAAATAGATTTAAATTTAATAGTAAAAAAATATAAAAAAATTCTTTATATACTTACTAAATTGTGAGAAATCAATGCACTGTTCCAAATTTTTGACTCGTTCATTGCTACACAGACCCCAGAAAGTTGTGAAAACAAAAGTAGTAATTACCATAAAGGCAAATATTAAAATCCAACCCAATTGCAAAATATAGGTAATGGTCATAAACTGTAAAAGAAATAAGCAAACAAATTAAATTAAAAAAGTTCTTTCCAATAAATATTTTAAAATAAACTTACAACTGCACAGGATATTCGTCCTCCAACTCTAGTTCTCCAAGCACGATAAACTTTGTGTCTTGTTGCTCCAGTGGCTAAGCAACCAACGCACAAGATCATAAAGCCTAAAGCAGCCATACTTGCTCCAATTGTTGCGAAAATTAATTGTACAGCTTCCAACCAGCCGAGACGAAAATTAAAAACCTGATCCATCATGAGAGATGAAAGTGTAGCACCTCTGTACATTGTGCCACAAAATATTCCAACACCCAAACAACACATAATTGTTGCTATAAGGGTCGCGTAAGGCACGCGAGCCATACAATCATTGCACATATTACCTGAAAATTATGTCACAGTTAAAATATTTATTAACAATTTTTGAAAATTTTTTTTTTTCCCCTCAAGTAATTTTAAAATAATTTAACTTTTATGTAACTCACTAGAAATTTTTTCTGTTTGATAATCAGCATGAAGACTATATTCTGAATATCTATCAACACTAATAGAACTTGGAAATGTTTGCCGAAGAGGCATTATAATACCACTTGCCTCCAATGATTGAGGTCTTCGATAATAATTTCGACTAGGCATTTTTAAATCATTTGAAATATAAAATAATTTTTAGAAATTTACAACAAAATTTAACAAAATGAAAACGATGACTGACACGCGATGAATCACTGATGTGTGAACAAAGCTACTAAACTGATAAATATATATACACTCTCTCTACTTTATATCATCAGGTGAGTAAGATAAGGAAAAAATATTATAAAATATACTATACACCTATTTATCACTTTAAACGTAACCGCATTTGAAAATATTCAGACTCCGATAAGACTTACCCATTTTTCTTCTTGCACTGCAGTTTTGAGGTTATGTTGACAACAGGGCGAGTTATACTCGTCTGTAATATTTTATACTTAAAAATCTCTTCAATTAAAGTAGTAATTGGACGTTGAAGTATTCTGGTTAGTAAATGACATCCCACACAAAACTGAAACTTGTCTCGGAACTTTTTGACCACAATCTGTCTTTGTCATACGTCAAACTGACAAACAATTCTTTGTTTACATCTAAAGTCACACACTCACGTAATTAAAAATTTGCTTTTTTTAAATTCGTTACTTCTTCATTCTTTTTTGGTATTATATATTATATCTTTATAAAAAAAAAAAAAAAAAAAACTTCCAATATTTACCAATAACAAGTGTAACGGATGCGCTTGTAAACGAGCACTGCTTATTACAGCTTTTCAGCGATATTTAATTTTAAATTAATTCACTTGAATGATATTTCAAAATTCCATAGAGCTTTTATTCATTTCCTTTTTGTATCTAATAAATTGTTTTTAGTGTGCTTTGATGTTTAAATGAACAAACTCTTCCATTCACTATTTATCAATTGCCATTCACCTGCAATGAAGGTTTTACACTAACATTTCCCACACCATTTAAATTACAACATGGCGGTGTATTTTTTAATTTCACCATTACATGACATTCCATAATATAGTTTACGAGAAAAGAACGCAAGAGTGGGATTTTTAATCCAAGTAATCTAATATAATTATTAATTAATTATACGAGAGTATGGAACGGCATGCTAATAATTGTACCTAAATATATACTCAATAAACAAGGTTGCAACCTCAATTATTTCTAACGTCCAATGAATATCTCAGAATTAAATCATTCTTGATTAGAGATGAGTTCATTTTTTTTTTTTTAATTAAATGAAATAAAATTTAGTTTCATTTTATTTTAATGAGTAATTTTTTGAAAGACTAAAAATAAAATTGTTCAGTGAGGAAATTAATTTGCATTTTTTTTTTTTTTAATTATTATAATAAAATAAATATTTATTATTGAGCATAATTTTCAATTAGACTACAAAGTTAGTATGTAAATTTTTTGAAATATTAGAATTTAGGAATGATTACACAAATTTATGTTTACTAATTTTCATGTTTATCCTTATGTTAAATTATAAAAATCTTGAAAAACTTTTTTTTTAATTATAATTAAAAATTAAATTTAAAAAAAAACAATTATCATATTAATTTGTACGAAACATTTCTAAATTCCTTACAAATGTTTAAATATTATTAATTAAATTCTCGACAAAAAATTAATCATTTCAAAATATTAAAAATACGATTAATGTAAAAATTGCATTTTCCTCCTTTATTTTATTGTCGTGACTGAATTCCATATCTCTATTGTCTCATGTCACTCTTTTTCTTCTTCTTCTTCTTTGCTTGCACAATTTGATAAAGATAACAACCTTGTAGATATCGCAAAACATAAAATTCTACCAAAAACTCATTGGTAATATATTTTTTTCCAAAAAAAAAAGTACGAATATAGTTTTGATTGATAATCTACTTTCAAGGAAAGTTAAAAGCGAACGGAAAGTAAAATTATTATTATATCTTTATTATTATATAGCGCAAATAAAATCAAATTACGAGTAGTCAGTCCATCTGCATTTTTATATAATTACTTTTCATTTAATATATTGTACTTTTTGTATTCGTTCGATATCTTGAGTTATTATTTTGATATTTTTAAAACTAGATCTGTAAGTTTTCTACTTAAAATTATCTTATTGTCCTATGTTTAGTCTGAACGAGACACTTAATAACAGTTGGTAAATGTTGAAGTTTTTCTCTCACAGCAAATGGTATATCAACATTTTGTGGATTATATTCATTATATTTTGTCACATTTCCATTGCTGCTTTGGTAAATAATTCCACCTCCATAACTTTGCGGGCTAGCCTGTGGTTTAAAGAAATAATTCAAATAAACTATTCGTTTTTTTTTTTTTTAAATTAAAACGGTTAACTAAGATACTTACAGTAATGGCAGATCCATCTTTATATTCAATTCTTATGTCACCTGATGGTAATTGAGTAGTTACTCCAATACCCGGAACCATAACTTTATTTAATTCTGAGAAAGACATTTGAACTGAATTTAATCGTTTGGACCGCAAAGCAGTTGTCGATACTACAGAACAAGTTGCGTCAAAGGAGGGCATCTATAATAAAAATTGATATAAAAAATCGAATTATCAAAAGATAAATAGACAAAAATTTTTTAGGACAGAAACTTACAACTAGTAGATTGTTCATAGCAGAGGATACATTTTCTTTGCCCTGCAAGCAGGGAGAGTCCGTAAGTGCTGATAAGGGTTTGCGTCCTATAATTGCAGGAAAAAAAGAAAATCCAGTTGCATTTTCCATGGAAGTAAAATTTGCTTCCACGACACGGCAATGTTTATAGCAATCGAAATAATGATTTAAATGATCTTCTAATTTTGATGGAACTTTTGCTTCTTCGTAAGTTATTTCTTTATCTTGTATTTTGACAATACCATTTACTTGCAGTACCTATTATTGAAATAATTAAGTATATTGACAAATAAATTTAATTGTATGAGATTTAGATTTTTTTTTACCTTTATACCATCGTAGAAGTGTACTTCACAATTTGGATTAGGACTATTCTCCATAAATAAGCATTTCGATCTAGAAGTATAGATAGTTAATTTAGGAGTTTTTGCCTTAACTATATTTACGTAACGGGCAGCATATAGATATTTTTTATGATGCCGCAATGGTAATGTCTCGTATGAATAAATACTATCCACTCCTTGATGTGGTAATGGCAATGGTAATGATTCTGGATCCTGATAATCGACATTGTACAAAACTATTCGCAATCCATCATTTGATATTCGACATACTTCCGTTATTTTCTCCTAAATGGAATAAAAATATATTATTTTGCTGCAATTTATTATATAATTAAAAAATTTTTTAAAGTAAAACTTTACCGTTAATCCTTTTTTCTTCAAAAACTCTATACACACTTCTCCATTTTCGAGAATAGTGAAGAATCCTTTTTTTGTCTTGTGCCTATTAGGAGGAAGTCGATGCGAATTTAAAGGTGGAACTGACAATTTATTTGAACTATTTTGATCTGATTCGCCAACATCTTCAGATAATCGTTCTTTTCTCTTTTGTTTCTGACTTAATTGGACTTTTCTTTTTTCTTGAATTATACCGCTGCCATTTTCAAATTGTGAGAAAATTCTACTTTTCGGAGGCAGAGGAATTCCAGCAAGAACGGAATTTTTCATCTGACAAGAATCTGAACGTTTTAGACGATTTTTGTTTATAGGTTCACTTGTTGCACTGGCTGTTGTTCCGCGACCATATGAAAAATTAGATAATAAAGGTGCACAAGAAGTTCTTTCTTCTGATCTTGAACGTAATCGCATTTGACCACTTGCACAAGATATTCGACCAGATGAACCAAGACCCGAGTCTGAGGACATACTTCCTTTGACATTGAAAATTTTAGGTTTTTCAAGAGACGACATAAAAGGATGCTTAACAATATCTCGTAATTTAATTCTTTCTTTTGGATTTTTCTTCAATAATTTATCAATAAGATCCTTTGCATTTGCAGATAAATGAGATGGTATTTTATAATCTGCCATTACCACGCGAGTCAATGTACTTTTAACGGCATCAGTATCAAAAGGTGGTTTTCCCACCAATAATGTGTATAACATACATCCTAATCCCCATACATCGGCTTCTAAACCATGTGAAGATCTCATAGCCACCTAGTCAAAATTTTAAAAATTATTTTATAAGATAAACATTAAATGATAAATGTTAAATAAACCACTTACCTCTGGTGATATATAATTTGGAGTTCCACACATTGTCAAATGTTTTTCATCTGGTCTCGCTAATCGCGTAGCTAAACCAAAATCTGCTATTTTCTGTTATGAAAAATTTAACAATTAAAAAAATATATTTTATTTTAATACGATATAGATACTTACAACTTGCATATTCTTCGTCAACAATAAATTTGATAAAGACATGTCTCGATGAAGTATCTGATGTGATTGTAGAAACTCTAATCCTTTTACAACTTGCTTAATTATATGTCCAGCTGCAATGAATTTATAATTATATTTACAAATTTCAATTTTTATGTGGATTATTACCATCATTTACAAAAAAAAAAAAAAAAAAACTATACAAACCACTTTCTTCATCCAAGGGAAGTAATTTCTGCATTTTAAGATATCGTTGTAATTCTCCATTGTGACACAATTCGAGAACTAAATAAACGTAATCACTATTCTCAAAGAATGTATATACTTCAAGAATTGCAGGATTTTTTAATGCATAATGAATTGTTACTTCTTGCTGCACTCTACCCAGCATCCCAGCTGCATGCATTAGATTTTTGTCGATCTGTTTAATTAATTATTACGACAATAAAATATATTAAGACACATATAATTACAGAATATTAGTAAATATAATATATAATACCATCAAAGACGATGCCAATAATAATAATAATAAATAATTTTCTAATTAGTTATTAAATAATTCTACAAACAAAGATGTTAAACATAAGTATATTGTTCAAGTTCAATAAGCAACAAGTGCAACCTTGACAGTTATAACTTCAATAAAAACAAAAAAGAAATCTCACCACTTTGATCGCAACATCCATGCCACTTCGAAGGCATTTTGCTCTATAAACACTTGCAAAACCCCCCTTTCCCAATAAATTCAGCACTTCGTAATCCTAAATAATATAAAAGATGTAAATTAATTATTTTATTTTCAGAGTGGAAGGTAAAGTATAAAGTAATTCAAAATCTTAACCTCTATTTGTTCACCAAACCCGCCCGACGGCGCTGGCATTATCATGATTTCTTCATGAGTCAAACGATATTTGCAAAACACCTTTTTAATTCACTTATATGTACGTAAGCAGGCACACTTTGTTTATTTATTATTGATTTGTGTTTATTTATAAAAATTTCGTAAACAAAAATGACGTGCACCCGCCAAACGCCATTGAACTTGAACGTCAAACCGTCGCGTAACTCTAGTGAACTAAGCACAATATGTTGCCAACTTTAAAATCTGAAAAAATATTTGAAATTGTTAAACATTGCTTAAAAAAAATATTATTAAGTAAATTTTAAAAGAATATTTTATTTCATATTTACTTTAATTAAAATTCTATTTTTAAAAAAAAAAGAATTGTCCTGTTAAAATTAAATGAAATTTAAATTTTAACATACTTTAGTTGGCAAACTTGATTCAAGTCGATAAAGAAGAATTTCGTAAATGATGCTTATTTTTGATTGGTTGGTGACAAATTCTTAAAATGTAATACCCAATCAGAAATTCACAATAATGGCAAACTTCTTTCTTTTTTTGACAATTTTCGATTGTTGATGTATCGATATTATTAAACTAACTTCATGGGATTAATTACATTCCTATATTCATTTTACTGCAATTCTTGCTGTTTCCCTCGTTTGTGGTTGCATCGTATTATTGTATGACATTTTGGTTTAGTGAAAGGGTGCATATTTAACACCTTTTAATCTTAAAAGTACACGTAAATTATGCCTAAAAGAAAAAATAATGCTCTTATTGACTCTGATAGCAGTGGAAGTGACTCTGGAGAAAGTGGCTCTGATCTAGAAAATGTAAGTTCATAACCTGTATTTGACACAAGCATTTTTCCGCAACAAAATTTATATTAGCCTTTAACAAATATAAATCAACAGTCTATTATTGCCAATAGCCCAGTGCATTTTAGTTTACATATATTTCTCTTTTTAACGATTTAATCGTAGTAAATGTAAATATTTACATTTATGAAATATAATGTAAAACGCATAATGTTGGATGGTCCTATGTTGCCAACATTTATCAATAGTTAAGGAAAAACTATAATTTTATCTTTTATACGTGTATTTATTCATTAATTATTACTTAAAGTCATGAGATTAATTAAATAAATGTTCTAACAGAAAAGTTTTTTTTGTTTTGTAATGGTAAATTTTGCTGAAATAACATAGAAATATTGTAGCAGTTTTATTTTATTTCAACATTAGTAAATATACGCTATATTAATAGTGTATATTTATCATATCAGGGCTTAAAATAAAATTAGTAAAACTTATTCGATCCAAATTATATTTACGTGCGTAAATAATTAAAATCGACTAATTTATTTTTAACCAAACCAATTAATGTTTTTGTTTTCAAAAGTATCGATTATTTTTCTTTCATACAATCATGAAAATTATACGTTTGTTTATGTTTCTTTTTATTTGTTTTTTTATATCAGATTAAAAAAAAATCGAAGAAAACCTTGTAAATTTATTTAAAATTAGATCAGAATTGTTTTCTAACATTTCAATAGTGGACGTGCGGCTATTGCTCAACTTTTGAGGTTAGGATTTCACAAGATTTTGTAAATATTTTTTAAATTTTAACAGAAATTGTAAATTTTACAGATGTGTTTAGGTAAATATATTAAATTGAAATATTTAAATTTCAACTTGTGTAATAATTATTAAAACATTTTATCAAATTTTTTGTGTTTTCTTAACTATAATCCGATTTTTTTTGTTAAAACAAGGAACTTTTAACATTGGCAAAGAAGAAAAAAAATAAATCACAAAGTGAATCTCCTGCTGAAGATGATTCGTCAAAGAAACCTGCTGATTCTGAAACATCGGACTCGGACGATGATTGGGGTGCGAAAGGTGGAAAGGCGAAAAAAAATAAAAAAACACCGGCGAAAAGATCCAAGCGAAAAATGACCAAGTCTAGTTCTGAGGATAGTGATAGTGAAAAAGAGGAATCAAAAGTCTCCGAACTAGAAGAAGGTAACTATATTAATCAGTTGAATATAATTAAAAAAAAAAAAAAAAAAAAAAAAAATTATTGAACTTAAATTTTTGATTTTTAATTAAAGGTGAAGTGTCAGATTCCGATGCAAGTGTTTCTGACTCAAGTCAAGAAGAATTTAACGATGGCTATGACGACAAACTTATGGGAGATGAGGAAGATCAAGCACGACTTGCGCAAATGACTGAAAAAGAACGAGAACAAGAAATTTTCAAACGTATAGAACAACGTGAAATTATGAAAACAAGGTTTGAAATTGAAAAGAAATTGCGTATGGCTAAAAAACAGGAACTTAAAAAACAAAAGGAGTCGAAAAAGAAAGAAAAGGGAGTCGATGAGAAAGAGAAAAAAATTGAAAGGGCACCGGATCCAAAAGAACGTAGCAAAGACAGAAAGAAAACAATCGAAGAAAAACAGGATAAGAAATTTCATGCAATGTCTTTACTTAAGGCAAGAAGAGAAGAAAAGAAAGAAAGAGGTAAAAATTTCAGCAGAAAATTCAGAAGTATTTAAAAATAAACTTGTTGTTACGCGAGGTTATTTTCAAATTTTTCAGAGGAAAAAGAGAAACAAAGGATAGAACAACAACAGGCACAATCAAAGGATGAAGAAGAAGAATTGGAAGATGATCACAAAGGTGGAAATAAAACGAAACTTAAGGCTTCCGATATTTATTCCGATGATAGTGGATCATCGGATAGTGAAGTAGAAGACGATTCATCAAAACAAGTTTCTAATCGTAGATCATCTTCCAGTGATGAGAAAGATTCGGATTCTGATAACGATAAGAAGTAAGTTTTTTTTTTTTTCCTTTTACTGTACAGTTAATGTGTTTTCTATTTTCTTTTATTTAATTACTAAATATTTCTTTACAGATCCGTGATGAGTGCAAAGACAAAAATAAAGAAACCAATTTATGTGAATACAAAAGAGGATTTAAATAAAATTCGTCTCTCTCGACATAAAATGGAAAGATTCGTTCATCTTCCATTTTTTGATCGAGTTGTTCAAGGTTGTTTTGTGAGAATTGGAATTGGTAACAATAATGGAAGACCAGTGTATCGTGTGGCTGAAATAAGTGGTGTTTGTGAAACTGGAAAAATTTATCAATTAGGTGGAACTCGTACAAATAAAGGTTTAAAACTTCGACACGGTGCTCAAGAACGTGTTTTTAGATTGGAATTTGTTTCGAATCAAGAATTTACGGAATCAGAATTCTCTAAATGGAAAGAGACGTGCGCTCTTCAGGGTATATCGCTTCCCACATTTGAAGAAATTGATCTTAAGACCAAGGATATTAAAGAGGCAATGGTTTATGAATTCAAAGAGGAGGATATTGAAAAAATAATTCGTGAAAAAGAAAGATTTAAACAAACACCATATAATTATGCAATGAAGAAAGCTAATTTAATGAGAGAAAGAGATGCGGCTAATTGTCGAGGTGACGATGAAGTGGCAACTCGTTTAAATTCAGAACTCAATGAATTAGAAGAAAGAGCATCAGAATTGGATAAAATGAGAACTGCATCCATTTCGAGTATATCTTATATCAATGATCGAAATAGAAAAAGAAACGTAGAGGAAGCTGAAAAAGCAATCATGGTAAGAATTCTAAAAATTTTTCAATATTAAATATAAATATTTGATTGTTTAATTTTTATTAAAAAAAAATATTTTCTGCTTTTAGGAAGAAATAAAAGCAACTAAAGGAAGAAAAGTGGATGATCCATTTACACGACGTAGCACAAAACCAAGAATGGTATATAAACCTGATGATGGAGAAAATCCTGAAATAATACCTGAAGTAGCAACACATTCTGTTCGTCCAATTGAAAAAATTTCTACATCCAACGAAAAGGAGAATAGTCAAAAAGTTCCTAAAAAGCAAAGTACCGAAGATTTATTCAATGCTCATAATTTCGACATAACAATTGATTTGGAGGTGCCAATTCCAAGTAAGTATATCACGATTGAAGTCTTTTTTTTCCCCCTTCCAAGAACTCTTAACGACGCAAAATTTTTGCTTACAGGTAATCCTGTTAGCATATTACCTAAGCCAATAAATAATATTAAGGACACAGGACCTCGAAGATCATTAAATTTAGAAGATTACAAGAAGAAACGTGGCCTCATCTAACACTTCATAAATTATTACATTGTTTAAAAAATAATGCGTTTTTGCGGTCACCTTTCATTTTTTTTTTAAAACTTATGCGAGAATAATCAAGAAAAATACTACATACAGGAAAAAGGAGTAATTTAAATTTGGATTCATAAAATACGTTGTTTATGGTATTTATACTTCTGATTACGTTTGCTTCCATTTTTTTTTTCATTAGAATATTTAATTTATACTTAAATGATTATAAATCGTGTGAGAGGGAAACATTTTTGTAAACTTAATTTTTAATAGTGAAATTATTGACATGCTCGCGGCAATTATTTCTCTTGATCACCATATAAATTACAAATTGGTAGTTTGTTTCTTGTTTATTTGTTATATGAAATTATTAGGCGAAATATCGTCAAAAAAAAAAAAAAAAAAATGTCGATTTGGTTCAGATGCAATTTGATGTAGTAATTTGAGAATAATAAATAACTTCAGAATACAATAAAAAAAAAACATAAGAATGAAAGCTTTTGAAATGAAAACGATCCTTTCAAAGAGTATTATTTTTGAGATTCTTATAGATAATTAATTCTGATGAGTTTTAGTTTTTATTTTATTAGCTTGATTGAATCGTATAATTTTATATCCTTCGACTTTATTGTTCTATGAAAATTTTTGACATATATTTGACATGCGTCAAATTTTCAAATATTAACATTCAGTTTATAAGCTTTAAATATTTTTTATATGATAAATTTTTTAAAACAACTACATTTTGTTGCATCAGCCACTCGACATAAAATTATGTATTATAGAAATAATAGAATAAACTGATAGCTCAATCATACTCATTTCAAATGTAATCTACACAAACAAAAAGAAAATTTAATTTTTTAAACTGATTTTAGCAAATCTAATAATCATAATTATTTGTGAGAAATTAATCCGATTATGTAGAAAACTTTTTTCTCACTGAATTGTTATCAGTTTTTAAAGAATTATTAACTTTGATGTGCTTAAATAATTTTTTCAAGTTAAGGATATTGAATATTCTTATACTTGATTTCAATTATTTCATTAAATATCAATATGAGTACAAATTTTATTCACATAAAAAATTTGTGATTGTAATAAGTGTGTAATACAAGGAAGCGATGTTAAATATTTTCGATTAGATCATTATAGTGTTTAGAACATTTAAATCGCTTCGTTAAAAGCAAATAATTTTATTTAAAGGATTGAAGTAATTTATTTTTTTTATAGTTTCTTTTCAAATTATTAACATACTTAGTTTGTAAACAAGCATTTTTTTTTAACTTTGTAGATACTTATAGAAGAAAAGGAAAATGAAAGATTAAAATAAACCGAATATTCAAACTTGGAGAAACTTCTAAAAAAAAAAAAAAAGAAAAAGAAAAGGCTGTAAATAATTGCTAAGCAGAAATTAATAGAATTTTTCCAGTATCATGTTATTATTTATAGTGTATGTTTAATAAGAACCGATAATAAGTATTTACAATTAATTGTAATCTATTCCGTACCATTAGGTACAGGTATTATAAAATTAAAAATGCGTTTGCTATTAGTTAAAACATACATTGTAAAAAATAGTTATAACTGAACCATCATGTTCAATAAAATCAATTCTAAGAACAATTTTTGAAATTATTGTTGTATATTTATTCTATATTGTACAATAATAAATTAAGATTTTTTAAATTCTTTACAATAAGAAATCAAATCTAAAAGTCGTTAAAAAAGAAATTAAAAACTTTTTATTTAAAAATTTGAAATTCATTAGAATATACCTAATTTAAATTACTTCGGTCAACAATAAAAATTTTTATAACAATTATAAATCATGTCATCTGTATATTTCTGTATAATTATCTTTTGTTTACTTTTTTAAAACTAAAAAAAAATAAATTAATATTCCTTTGTTTATGCTATCATTAAATGATTAATAATTTTATATTTTTTCACAAATAAATTCATTGTTTCTAATCACAATCGCATGCGCGCCTATCGTTTATTTCAGTTTATTTGCTGCATGCCAATGACCATATAAGGCAATTTCCCCACGCTCCGACTAGTGATTGGCTGACATGACCGGCATTAATGACAATCGGTCCCAAACTATTAAAAATTATAATAATTTTTTTCAAATTTGATGCAAATTGGAAAACTACATTTAAAAATTAATTATCTGCTTCTCTTTATTATTAACAACAAATTTTGTTTGTTTTAATAACATTTTCCTACTAACTATTTATGTTGACCGAATAACACAAAACCCACGCGCAAAGAAATTATTAATTTATTTTTGAAAATCAATTAATTAATTCAAACAATTTAAATCAATTAACAAAGAAATTTGCTATTATATAAAAGCATTATTATTCTGACAAATATTAAATATAATTTCCTTACAAAATTAAAAATAAAAAATATTTTATAAAATTTTAGCTGTTAATCCAGGAATGTGTCAAAAATTATTTGCTCCCTATTTCAAATATTGGCGCTCTTTTCAAATTCTTAAAATGTCATAATTTTAATTTTAAAAGAATACAAACGTTAAATTATAAACAGATAAAAAATATAATTACCTTTTAAAATTTGAGACAATATTTTTATGATAATTATCAACTCTTGTCAATTTATATCAGTTTGAATAATAATTGGAGAATTTTAGAATCCTGGGGCCTTTTGATTTATTACTACACTACGTACTCTAAAATTTGTTTCAACCAATAGGAAATTGATAACAGTGCGCGCGCGCAAGCGTAGGAGTACAAGTTTTATGCAGAAAGCCAGGATCCTCCCTTCCCGTTGTTCGTGTGTGCGACCCCCGACTGAACTGTGAGATCCAGTTTAACGTTAACTCAGGCCTTGTGAAAGTGTCAATAGTGCTTTAATTTACGTGTCTTTTGATACTGGATACAACTTTACAAAATGGTAAATATAAATTTGTCTTTTTACATGTCGTGTATGCGATGAAATTAAAAACCGGCGTTCGACACTTTGTGGTTATACCGGAGCAGACACGCCAGCCGCCATTTTTGCCCCGGCAATAAATCCTAAAGGCCAATAATTTTTGGATCATATCACGCACATTTTATGGCATTTTGTAATAATTTTTATAATAATATATACCTTACAGATACTTCATATCAAAAAATGATATTAGAACACTCGCGATCTTGTATTTTTCAACATAAGAAGACAGGTTTACTTATGGATCAGTGGATTCAGGAAGCGGACGGATGAATCATTTTCAAGTTTGTGATACCGTGACGATACTGATTTCATGATTAGCCTCAAAATACATAAACCATGTGTCAGAAAAACATGCATCATTCTTAAGATACTATGAAATTGTTCTACTTTTAGGGCTACAGTGTTTTCACTATTATTAGTGCTAAAATTTCCTTTTTCATGTATCCAAACCGGCTGAAAAATGTGTGTGCCGTGAATTTTGGAGATCGATATTGCCCCAGCGATGTTGAAGCATCCTTCTATTCACACATCTGTCAGAATAGCTGTAGTAATTATTTCCTAATTTGGAAGTTTTTTTTTTCTTCCTATTAAAAGACATGTGTCTCACCTTGAGATTCACATGGAAACTTTTGCTACATTTTTGGATATGAATTTCAAGACTATTTTTCTTAAAATTTCTAAAAGATATTTAAAGCAGTTAAAATATTTTTTCTCAAATTTTTCTAGTTTTATTTGAGGTAGTTTATATGAATTCCTTGAATGTATGTTAAGTATTCTAGTTTGATGTTAAAACAACAAGCGTTTATTTATTAAAAATTTTATTGTTTGAATTCTATTAAATAGAAATAGTTCGTTATGCTTTAAGAACACAATTCGTAAAAGAGAGAAATGTTCTACTGAATTTATTTTTCTATTCGAGTTCCAGTTCTTTGGAGCATAAAGTTATAACTTTTTTTTCTGTATTTTCAAACAATATTATTAACGTCACAACAATCTTAAGAACTAGATATTTTCTACTGAAAATTTGTGGTATTAAACAATCGTAAATAAATATTTAGTCGCTATTAATTCGAAGTATGGTATTCATTGACTTTCTTCAACTTTACAATGATAGCTTGAGAAATTTGATACAAGCTTTACTTTTGTAAACTTTTTATATTTTCATAGGCTTTTTTTTCAACTTGAAGGTGTTTTAATACATATATAGGAATATATCAATATTGAAGGTGTTTTGTTTGATTATTTTGATTATATGTAATTAGTCACACCTATTGCTAAAAAAAAAGAGCTACATTTGAAATATGAGATGGTGTCAAACAACCTTACAAGAATTGTGCGAGAAACTTTATACTGGTTAAATAATTTGATACAGAGACAAGATTCTGTACTAACAAAATGGTTTCTTGTACTCAAGCTGTCGAGTAATTTTTGTTAAATGAATGTTATTTTATTGAAAAATTGATAGAAACTAGATTTTCTCATACATTTTGATTAATTTAGTTAAGTAACATTAAGTATAATAATATGGTTGAGAATAGAAAATGATTCGTCTACAAATGTGCGTGTCAACGATCGATGCACAACCGAGTTGGGATCTTCACTTTCCAGCTTCTAATTTTAATAATAACTAATCCCCTCCCCCCTCACCAAACGTATGCACCAAACTTTGTTCGCCTTTACGTTTGTCCATTCACAGAAACACTCAATCGACACTAATCTTTAACGATTTATGACGGAATTCCCATTTTTTGGCAAATTAAATTAAATAAGCAAAGAATAGTAAAAAAAAAAAAAAAAACATTTAATTACACTAAAAATGAATCAATAATTGATTATTTTAAACTAATCATGCATTTATCCAGAAAGTCAGATAACATTTATTTCTTTTTTAATACAATTTTTTTCCTTACAATTCAGGGAATTTATCCATTTTTTTTTATGAAGAAATGACTAATAGGGATTGAAGTAATGTATATTGTAAAGTTTTTCCTGAAGAATGATTTTACAAATATCTACTCTTTAATATTGCAACTATAATTTTGCGAAATAAAATTTGACGTCAATTATTACGTTTTTGAAATGTAATAATTTACATAAACAAACATTATGCATAAACCTTGCCAAAGTTGAGAGAAAATGATGAAAGTTCTTAAAAATATAAAAAACAAAATTGTTTGTTTACATTTTATAAGTTTTAAGTTTCTTTAAAGTCACTTCAATTTTGATTTATTATTTTATTTATTAATCAAAAACGTAGAAATTTAAAATCATAAAGAGAATATTAATTTAAAAATTTTAATTTTTGGGTAAAATCAGAAGCTGTATTTATTTAATAGATTAATCTCTTTTTTTCTTTGAATATGGCAGTGTGTTAACCCTCATATACTATGACGCATGTATACGCATCGTAATTACTTCCATTCCTGTAGAATGACGCATACTTTTATCATTTAAACTAAAAGCTCTTTTTTCGTATTTATATATATATATATACCAAAAATAATTTCCTTTTAAATAAAAATAGGAAACTGGAATTATTTTTAAATTTAAAATAAAAGAGTTTTAGTTTATGAAATTAGGAAAATCTTTCAAGCAAATTTTCTTGGAATCATACCAGTAATGTATAAATTTTTTGGCAGAGAAAATCAAATTGATGAGAATAATCGTATTTTGATTTAGGAAAAAGTGAATTTTATGATTTTTGATATTTTAGGTGATTTTTGTCATTTTTCAATGATGCTGAAGTCCGCAACGTTTTTATAAACGAAAACGAAAAAATAATTAATATCTATTACTTTGGATTAAAATTAAAATTATTCAGGGGTAACTGGTTTATGAGACTGAAGTCCGCAACGTTTTTTTCAAAAACGAAAAATTAAAATAGAATTATTTTTTCATGTCAATTTATCTCTAATTTTGATTTGCACAAAGTTTCAAAAAATTAATACTTTTATAAAAACCAGTTATCCCCGAATAACTTTAATTTTAACCAAAATTATTGGATATTGTCTAATTATTTTTTCGTTTTCGTTTATAAAAACGTTGGGGACTTAAGCATCGTATACTGGTTTTTATAAAAGTATTAATTTCTTGAAAGTTTGTGCAAATCAAAATTAGAGATAAATTGACGTGAAAAAATAATTCTATTTTAATTTTTCGTTTTTGAAAACGTTGCGGACTTCAGCATTATATTTTTCATTGATACCATTTTTTTTTTTTTTTATTTAACTCATGATAAGAAAAAAAAATTTTTTTTTCAAACATGAAATTTCTAACTTAGTAAATGATTTAAATAATCAGATTTAAAAATATTTTTTTAATTTGAAATTAAATTATATAGTAGGTTAAATATTGAGAAATTGGATAATTAATTTAATGTGAATCTCTTGAATATATTGCACTGAAGAATTTAATGAAAATTATATTATTGAAACAAGATGTTTTATGCACATATCTGGAAAGTAATGTATCATTTTTCATGATATATTTTTTCTAATCAATATCAAAAGGGAAATCTAGTTAAATCTTTTAAAGCTTATTTTTCGGACAAACGACGAGGACGTATAAAAATAAAATCTTCCCACGCACAAATTCGACGCGAAAAGAGATTCCTCCATTTTATTTCTAAAGTTATCTCATGTTCTTGGACACGTGGTGCATGCTCTATAAGTTTGTTGTGGGAAATATGGAAAATGTTTTATTTCACTGATATAAATTTCTTCTATCATTTGATACTTCAACATTGACAGACTTTGACGTATCTTTGTTTATCAATAAATTGATAAATTTATTTCTTCAAGTGTGATTGTCATTTAAAATGTAAGATTAGAATTTGCGCGATTCTTTCAACTTTTTTTCACTTGAAATGAAAATTTACAAATTTAGTGTTCGCGCTTTTTGTGTTTAAAAAAGAAATATTTTTTTTTCAAAAATTTTCAAGAGATTGTTAAAATAATTAAGCAATGGTAAGAATGGATTTTTTTTTTTAGAGAAGTAAAAAAACAAAAGTGTATTTGATGACCAGCAATATTTATTGAAGCGTACAGGAGAATAAAAAGTCTTATTGTTTTCAGGCATCTGGAGTCACCGTGGCGGACGTTTGTAAGACAACTTACGAGGAAATAAAAAAAGATAAGAAGCATCGGTATGTGATTTTTTATATTAAAGACGAGAAGCAGATCGACGTCGAAGTGATTGGACCTCGTGATGCAGCATATGACGCTTTTCTCGAAGACTTACAAAAGGGCGGAAGCGGGGAGTGCCGTTATGGTCTCTTTGACTTTGAATACACCCATCAATGCCAGGGTACATCTGAGGTGAGACAAAAAATACAAAATTTTTCTAATTTTAATTTTTTCATTCAATTCATTTTTTTAAAAACAAATTTATTTATTAAAATTTGTTTTTTTGCAGGCTTCTAAAAAACAAAAATTATTCTTGATGTCGTGGTGTCCCGACACAGCGAAAGTGAAGAAGAAGATGTTATATTCTAGTTCTTTTGATGCATTGAAGAAATCATTAGTAGGTGTACAAAAGTACATTCAAGCAACGGATCTTTCGGAGGCTTCCGAAGAGGCTGTGGAAGAAAAACTCCGAGCCACTGACAGGAACTAAGCACAAAAAAAAAAGAAGTATTCAATCAGTCCGATAATTATTATTATTAAAGGAACAAAAAACCTCAAGTGGTCAACAATACAGGAATCTTCTTCCTAAAAAAGAATGCTCCCGTAACCGTCGCATCGGGGATTCAACTTTTTACATATTTTTCATCTTAAAGATGCTTTTATTGCTACACATGTATCAAGGGTTTTAAATAGGGATGGGAGGGCGGGATAAATCAACAAAATAATGTTTAACACAAAACAAAAAACAAACAAACAATAGGGTTACATTTTTCATGCTGCGGACGATGTGTGAATCTGTCTGGTAAAATAATAAGAATATTATACTAATATAAATGGTATAAAATGCTGATTGTAAAAGCGTGTGCAGTTTACAACCGGTCAAAACAGTAAGAATGAGAGCATTACATTTTTTGTCACAAGCTGTATAATGTTTAAATTAAATTCATTTCATAATGATATCTTTGTGAATTGTATTTTTTTTCATATTTTCCTCTCCATATTTCCCTTTTCGCTGATTCATTAGATTTGTTTTGATTCTTTCATAAATAATGCTAATTATTTCTTATTATATTATAAAATTATAATTATTGACGCTTTTCTCGAAGAGAATAATAATTAAATAATAATTTTCTTATCTTTTTCATGGAGAACTTTTGAAAAATCTTTTTAAAAAAATGTCTGCTTTCCAAACCAGTTTAATCGATGACTTTTCTTTAATTAGACTAATTATCTTAATGAAGTATTGGAATTTTTACAGAGAATTCAAATTAGTGTCACATCAAGAGAAAATCAATTACCTATTAAAATATAGATTTTCGACTTAATAGGAAAAGGAATTTTCAGGTAATTAAATAATTATGAAAATAAAATTTAATGCATTTTTTTTTTATTCCTTAGGAGAAGTGTGAATGGAGTGAAAATGTATTTCTTTTGGAGAAAATAATTCCCGGATATTTAAATAATTTGCACCCGTAAATTCAACTGCTTTGTACGTTACTGGAGTGTAGTTTGTTCAGTTTTCTGATTTCTCCACACAGTCTATGCTTATAAAATTTTCTCTGTATGTTTTCTGGAGCTGATTTCTTTGGAACTCAACATTTAACTTCAGTGAACATTAGTCGCGTACCTCAACTGGAGCTGCCTGCGTCGTTTAAAATTTATTATTTCCATTAAAGTCTTATTCTTTCAACTATAGTTTTATTAAAAAATCTTCAAGAATCTATTATGGAAGCCAGACAGCGTGTGTGCATTATCGGATCCGGAAATTGGTGTGTTATTTTTTTTTTTTTTCCTACATTTAAGTTCTTATCATATAACAAGTATTGATATTTTTCTTCAACGAGTATATTTTTATATTTAAAATAAAATATTTTAAAGGGTGTTAATTAATTTGAAATATTTTTATACTTTTAAGGTGAAATATATTATTTTGAATAATAAAATATAGCATAAGGGATTGTTTCGATTGATATCCTGAGAATTTGTTTTTAATTATATTGTCTACAAAATATTTCATTCTTGGCGCACTTCATAAACAATTAAAAATAATTTACTTATAACTTATAGATATTATGTAATACACATTTTTCTTATTTTTAATGCATTTTTAAAAATTTATACATTGAAGAAAAATTAAAATTTTTTTACATGTTAATGTTAGATTTGATTGTTGAAAGAATATATTAATTAATAAATTTAATTTTTTAATTAAAAATTAAGATGAAACTTTTTTTAACTGAATTTTATATTCTTTTGAAATAGAAATGATTTTTTGGAGTAAAATGAAATTTTTTCATTTTAAATAATTTAATCATTATTCTTTATTCCTCTTTATTATCTACAATATTAATATCAAATTTTAAGTGTTGAAAATTAGATTAAATTCTTCGAAATTAATATAATACTGTTTTTTTTTTTTTTTTAATTACAGGGGATCGGCAATTGCTAAAATTGTTGGAGAGAATGCGAGAAATTTAGATACTTTCGAAGATGAAGTTACCATGTATGTTTTCGAAGAAATGGTTAACGGTAGAAAATTAACAGAAATTATTAATGAAACACATGAAAATGTAAAATATCTTCCAGGTCACAAAATTCCTCATAATGTAGTAAGTATTAAAAAATTATTTATTTTTAAGAATCATTAAAAAAAAGTGCATTCAAAAATAAAAACCACAATAAAGCTTATGATAGTAAACATTTGAATATTTACAAAAAAATTTCGTGTAATTATTAAATCAATTAAATTAAATTATTTAATTAGAATATAATTATTTTTCTCATACTTTTTATCACGAGGTTAATTTCATAAAAATTAAACTTACAAGTGTAGATTAAAGTTTCTTATCTGTTTGAAAAATGATTAAATAAAAACTGGTTTTAATTTCTTATTAGCTTATAATAAACGTAGATGTAAAAAGAATTTATTACTTTTCATATTTGTTGTAAGGTATATTTTAATGAAAAAAGTTATTTTGGTTATCGTCGCATTGCTCACCTAGACCTTACCTATTTAACAACCTTGACCCTAAAATAACCAGGAGAGTATTGATTATTGTCACACATACTCCTTTCTTGCATGTGCATATATATATACAAACACATTTAAATTTAAAAGGATGTGCATTTTTCATTCGATTATTTTTATAGAAAATTTTCTACATAACTATTGATTTAATTTTCAGTTCGATTGCTTTAAGACATGTGCGTGTTTGTGAAATTTTTAATTTCAAAAAAAAAATATAAGCTTACAACTGATAAATATTTTAAATTAAACTTGTTTTTTTCGAAAGCTGTAACATGCAATTTTATAAATATATCATGAAAGTAAAAATAAAATGATGAGAATATGTTTTTAAAAAAAAAAAACATCCTCTTTCAAATATAATTTATCAAGAGGCCTTGAGGAAGATTACGGGTGCAATTACGATTAAGGAAAGAATAATAAATTGGAAAAAATATTTAAAAGTACTTTTTCTTGTCAAGAATTTTATAAATTTAAACTTTTTTCCTAGTGTAGATTTTCCCCTATGAAAATTCTCATTGTGGACAATTCTTTTGTTCTCTCGTTTACAATTAATAACTACTAAAATAAGTTAAAAGAATATTCATTCATAATATTTTATGAAATGTTATACCGCAAAAGTTACGCTTCTGGTCTTTAAAAATGAAAAGATGTACAAGTGTTTCTCATATTACATCATTTTATATATACATTTTTTCTTGTTATGTAATCCTTTTAGAAGACTGACAAAAAAAGAATGGTATATTAAACAAAGAAAAGACAGACATTACAATGTAGTCATTTCAAAATGTTAATAAATTTAATTTTTTAATTATTTTGAATGTTTTAATGCATTTTTAATATTAATTTGTTAATAAATTTTAACATTAGAATCTATGAATTATGACAACAGTTTAATGTACTTTGTACATTGATCTAAGAATTAAGAAATATAAGGTATTCTATGATTCAGAAAGTGACTTTTGTACTCTACAATTTTATTTTATTATTCATTTTGAACTTTAGCATATGACCAAAATAATTTTTGAATATTTCATAGATATTTGATGGATTAAAATTGGAGATAAAAGTCACAATGAAAATATTTTCATTATAATTAAATTTTATAGGATGAAATATTATTTTTTTGTAAATTTTAGCTTACAATTTAATTTCAGATCGCTATTCCAGATGTCGTAGAAGCTGCGAAAAATGCCGATATTCTTATTTTTGTTGTACCACATCAATTTATTCGTAAAATATGTGGTTCACTTTTAGGGAATATTAAATCCACTGCAGTTGGTTTATCTCTTATTAAAGTAAGTATTTTAATAGAAAAAAAAAGGAAAGAAAAATTTCCCAATTCTAATTCTGTAATTAATTAACTATAGGGTTTCGATCAAAAAGAAGGTGGAGGAATTGAATTAATTTCTCACATAATCTCTCAGGAATTAAATATTCCTGTATCGGTTTTAATGGGAGCAAATCTTGCATCTGAAGTTGCCGATGAAATGTTTTGTGAAACTACAATAGGTAATTTTTTAAAATATAATTTTACATAATCGTATTAGTTATATTTTTTAATATTTATCTTCAACATAAATTTCATATTTCTTTATCGTAAATTCCAAGGTTCTCTATTTTTATGTCCTTCTAAAATTAGTTTTTAAATATACGTTGTACAAAAGTAAATATTTTTATTGAATTGTCTGTTTCCTTTTTTTTAATTTTATTTATTACTTATTTTAAGCAAATAAAATTTATTAATATATTTTTATGATTTAATATTTTATTTTAATTTTGTTAAAAACAATTTTTTATTGTTGAAGGATGTAATAAAATGTCATTTCTTGTGATGGTTTTATAACAAAAGTCATAAAAATATTTTTCAAATCCATATTGATAATGCTTTTATGATTATATAAATTTTTATCGAACCAATTCTAACATAAAATCAAAAATAATTTCCAATAAAACTAGTATCATTTAATAAAAAAATAATTATTTTTATCTGAGTACACATAAATTGCGATAAAGGTGGAAAAATTTCTAAATCAGATCATAAAAATAATTGTCTCATTTAAAAAATTATTATTTAATTTTTTGTATTTTATTTTCCAGGATGTAAAGATAAAAATCTTGGTCCTATTTTAAGGGATATAATTCAAACCTCATATTTCAGAGTTGTAGTCGTAGAAGATGTTAACTCTGTTGAATGTTGTGGAGCCTTAAAAGTAATTATCTTTTAATTTATTATTTTTGTTTAAAATGTTTCCTTTTTTTTTGAATTTATTTTATATATTTAACAACTATTAAAAAAAATTATTGTACTTTTACGCAGAATATAGTGGCTTGTGGAGCTGGTTTTGTCGATGGTTTGGGTTTAGGCGATAACACAAAAGCCGCTGTTATCAGACTAGGACTAATGGAAATGATAAAATTCGTCGATGTTTTCTTCCCAGGAGGAAAATTATCAACATTTTTTGAAAGCTGTGGAGTAGCTGATCTTATCACCACATGTTATGGTGGAAGAAATCGTAAGGTTTCAGAAGCCTTTGTTAAAACTGGAAAGGTTCGTTATACTTTTTCTTTTATTATAATCAATTGACGAAATCCCACTGTGAGAAATTAAAATAAATTCTCAAATTGGTTTTTAATTATAGAATATACAGTTTAAAAAGAATAGTGAAAAAAGTAATGAATTAAAATCAGAAAAGAAAATTATTATTTCAAATTTTTAATAAAATAAATAATTATTGTATATAATTTTTAGTCCATCAAAGTCCTGGAGAAGGAAATGTTGAATGGTCAAAAATTGCAAGGACCTTTCACGGCAGAGGAAGTGAATTATATGTTAAAAGCAAGAAATATGGAAGAACGATTTCCACTTTTTACTGCGATTCACAAAATTTGCACGGAAGTTCTGAAGCCAACGGATCTTATCCAATGCATTCGAAACCATCCAGAACACATGTAAGCCTTATTATAAAATAACATTTACTAGCTCATTGCATTCTAATGAAGTATTGAAAAAATGCTACAAAATTATTAATTCTTAACCAAAGATGAAAAAGCACTTTTTTTTTCTTCAACACTGGAAAATTTTCAATGGTATAAGGGTATACGAATGTTATCAATTGTATATATATTAAAAAAAATTATATATAAGAAATGTACATACGCGTATATAGTCATCATTTGTATATTAATTAAATCACATCTGATGACATCGAATTGTTGAGAAATGAGAGTGTTAAATTTATGCATTTGTTAACGATTGGTATTTTTACAAAAATATTAACTGTTATTTGTTGTAATAATTGAAAGTTTATTTACTATTGTTAATGAAATTATTTTTCTAGCATGATGATTTAATATGCATTTGTTTAAATAATAATAATTATCAAGTCTTATAATACTTATATATATATATATATATATATGCAATCCAATTGACTTATTTCAAGTCAAAGAAAAAAATTTCACTGAAAGTCAAACTTAGTAAATATTAACGAACGTTTATTAATTATAAATATCACATAAATCTAAAAGATAATTCTTAAATAAATAATATATCGCGGGATATTATATATAAAGTAATTAAATAATAATTTACTATTAAGTAAATAAATAAGAAAAAATTATATTATAATTGAATCGAAGGAGGGAGAAATTTTCATATAATATATTTTTCAATAATTTTCAAATTACTTTAACTTTAAGCGATTTCAATTTTTACATATGACGAAATTAAAATAAAACTAGAAATAATTATTATAGTTAGGGAAAATTCGTTAAAATTAAAATTTTTTTGAATTTCATATCATAAGAAAAAAAATTTTGAATTGATTTTTGTGATTTTTAGTAATTTAATGACATTAGCTAGTAAAACGAATTTAGTAACTTAATATTAATATAGATTACTATAATAATAGTCATTTCGAAAGAAAGGACGCTAACTCGCAGTGATAAGTACAAAGAAAGTACAGTTGATGCGCCAGAAATCACAAATTTCGATATTTTTTTATTTAATTAATATTTTTTTTGTTAATTTTTATTCTTATTGTTGATCTGAATTTTTAACGTTATTGTTAACTTTACAAATTTTTATTATTAAAATTGTGATTATTATTTTTATTAAAATTTGAATTATTTAATTAGTCATTATTCTTAAACAATTACATTGATTAACTTATTTTATTAAATGAGTAACCACTATGTTTCACTCGTGATATCGGCTGCATCCTGTATTTGTAGTTTAGCGCGCGCTATAAAAATATGTTGCTTCCATTTTAGAATTTTTAACTCTCAAATCTCCATAAATATATAATTAATTTAATAGAACATTAAACGCTTAAATGCTGTTCTTGTAGGTCACATTATTTATAATCTTAAATTATTAAAAACAAGTAACAGCACATTTTCTAAAGCACCAAAAATTAGAATAAAATCTTGTCATTTCTTGTAGCTAAAGATAAAAAAGTAACGATAATTTTTAAATGTATAGAATATATTTGTGTATATATATAACTATGAAATATGGAGATTATACTTTATGCAAAAGTGTAAAGTTTTATTTTTCTTTACTAGACCAAAAATATAATTAATATGTGAAATATATATATATATTAAAAAAAAAATGTTATTACTATAATGAATAATGAAAAATTATACACAGTCTTGTTGAACGGCGTATTTTAGTTATTGTATATGAGTTATTAGTTCTCGATTTTGTAGTTATCTGTCATTTCAAGTAAAATATTCTATGTATAATGATGATTATAAAATATACAAATATTGATTAATCTTGTTATTAATTTTCTTTCATTGAGACTGAAAATCATAATCATCATCATCACCTTTATTTGTAATTCATGTACAATTTCATAATTCATTACATTTAAAATTTATTAATTTTGCGCTTGGGGGAAGAAAATTTCATTGAATTGAATATTTTAATTAATTTTTTTAGCTACGAAAAATAGGATTTTTTTCTTTTGAGTGCTTTAAATTTGTTTTCCAAAACAATTTATTTTACGCTTGCATGTTTTTTAATTTAAGCTTTAATCAGTTATTAATTATTATGAATGTATTTTTTTTTTTTTTTTTTTTTTTTGTGCAAATCATCTCACTAATCATATTAAATTCAATTCATATTCAGGGATGACGACGACGACAAATTCCAGGATCAAGCTACTTCTCCACGATGTCATCTATGAAGAATATTTGCTCAGAAAAAGAAATAAGTCTTTGGAATAAACTCAAACGTATTACATTCTTGATAAATGTAATACACCAAAGGACTCGAGTTGCGTTCCATTTGAGGAGAAAAATTAGATTGAAAAAGGATTTTTTTATAATATAATATAAATAGAATCAGTCATTTTTTAATTGTTTCCAAAGGATTTCTGCGAATAAATATTCAAATTTGTTTAATTGAAAAAATTTTATATATGCAATTTTGCAACATTTTGCAAATTTAAATTTAATAATTTGTATGAAAATAAGACAATCTGGGCCCTTTCTCTCAAGCGGAACGCAATTCGAGTTTAACCAAATACACAGATAATAATTTTCTTTTTAAATTTTATATTTGAATTATGAGAATATTTTAGAATTATTACTGCGTTGATAGTTAAATCTGGAAAATGATTTTTTTTATTAATAATAACTTGTACACCGCCAACAGTCATATAATATTGAAAAATACTAGTCGAATTCAGGTTTACTAAAGAAAGAAGATTTTTAATGTTCATAATTTGAACAAACGATGCCATAAAATCTAGTGAAAAAAAATCACTGAGCATATTTTAACTTTGTTTTTTACTTTTTTATACACAAATACAAAACAACAGAAATTTAACTAGAAACTGAGATTTTTAAGAAACGTTATTGCTTCGAAACTTTATTTTAATTTAATTTTTGTTGAATCGTTTACAGGGAAACTAAACAAAAGTCAATTTAATTGTAAATTTTCCAATTTATTTTTAACTTTTAATTACTAAATCAACACACTGACAGAATTATTATGAATTATATAATAGAAATTATCATTACACATCACAATTATTTGAAATCACATTTAGATAGTTGAAATTATGGAATCGGAGTGTAAATATAATTAGAAATGTTAATTAATAAATTGTATGTTTCGTTGCAGAAATAATGTTAAATTTTTTTTTAAAAAACAAACCATATTTATTTTCCGTGTAAATTGGAAGATTTAAAAAAACTAAGTTAAAAATTTTATAGACATTTATCACTAAATTTACTGTGTATACAGTCGAGAATTAAGAACGTATTAATCTATGTTTTGTTAATTATCAATAAGTTGTTAATTTTTAGGTCATTTTAAATAATTTTCGTGTTGACATATGTTTTGGATTGGCGGTCATCCAAGAGTTGCGCGGCAAGTTGCAAGAAAATTATGCGGGACCACATCCGAAGGTCAATAAAGACCGAACTAGAAGTTTAGTAAGTCAGTCGGTCGTTCATTTGGAATTTGGTCCCGCGACTTTTAAGTTAACCGGGAACAAGTTGCCATCAAATTTTCGGTACTGAAAATTAGTGCCGATTTTCATTTTACTTTTTCATAGATACAAAAAAAAAAGAAAGGAAATTATGTCGAAACCTAAGCAAAAAGTGTGCATTGTTGGAAGTGGCAATTGGTAAGTTTAAAAACCTTGAACTTTGCAGAATTTTTGAAATAATTTACAATCTGTTAATCAAACAATACATTTTTTTTATATATAATTCCAATATTTTGCATTAAAAAAGGAAAATCAATTTAAATAAAAAAGAAAATTAAAAAGGTTTTAAAGAAATTTAATTTTTTTGAAAACATTGCATTCATAACAAAGGAAGTTTATTCAATTGACTGAGGAATTAAAGTTCATGATAAAAGATGAGATCAAGTGTTAAGATTTTTATGACTTGTGAGACATAAGAAAAAAAAGTCACGTTTGGCACACAAGAGTCGATTCAATAAGGCTGCTTGACATCTATAGCATTCAAGGCTGACAACGAGGTGCCAAAGTAGTAATGACAATCACAAATTCTATTACACAAGAAAGAAAATGAAAAATTCTTATGTAGTATAAAATATTCTGTTATATAACTATTGATGATACTTTGTTAAATCTTTTTTTTATTTATTTTTTTTTTTCGAAAAATTAAAATTTAGGTAGCTGTTTTTAAATAAAATTTTAATTATCATTAAAAATAAAGAAATAATTAGAGAATAATTCAATAATCAAATTATCAATTCAATGCAAATGAGAAGTAATCCTGAAAATATTCCTATCAATAAAGACGTAATTCATCTTATTGTATTCGCATCTTGTTATGCCAATAATTTAAATTATTCTACATTAAACGCCTTATTGAGATTCTAAAAAAATATATGACTCATTTTAAATTCTAGATTTTTTTATTTTCAACAAGACATACGTTTTAACTTTAAACATATATTATTGAAACGTAATAAAAACATTTTTTTCTAATGTACATTTTCAAGCAATTAAATTCTTTTAATTATTTGAATTTAATATATACATAATTTTAAAAATTATTTTACTATTTCTTTTTTTTTAATATTTCATTTTTAGGGGTTCGGCTATTGCAAAAATTATTGGTGCCAATGCAGTTAAATTTAATAAGAAATTTGAAGAAACAGTTACAATGTACGTGTTTGAAGAAATGATTGATGGTAAAAAATTAACAGAAATTATTAATGAACAACACGAAAATGTCAAATATCTTCCAGGTCATAAACTCCCACCTAATGTGGTAAGTTATTTTGTTATTTTTAATAAACATTATTTAAAATGAAAGAAAGTTTATTAAAATATAAACTTAATTTAATTTTACTTAAAAATTACAATTATTATTTAAAGTTACGAAAGAAATGGGTTAGTACAATATTAATAATCAGTTGTCGTACGAACGTAAACTTTTCCCGATGGCATAGAAACTGTATCTACTCCTCCTGGGAATAATTTAGGAAGATCTTCCTCTTTCACTGATGGCAAAATCATTACTTTTTCTCCGGGCTAAAATAAAAAAAAAAAAGGAAAAAATAATTATTTTCGTTAATAATTTAAAAAAATTAAAACTAATTTATTCAATAAATTATAAAGGAAAATTTTTAAGTACTTACAACCCAATTGGCTGGTGTAGCAATTTCGGGTATTCTATCAACTAATTGAAGAGAGTCAATCACACGTAACATTTCACTGTTAAAAAAAAAAAAAAAATAATTTTTATTGTAAAATTTGTTTCTTTAAAAATTAATTTTTGAAACGAAATATTAATGCACTTACTCAACATTACGTCCAGTTGATTTTGGATAGTGCATAGATAGACGAACACGATGATCAGGACTAATAATATAAAGAGCCCTGACGGTATCAGCGTATTCTGGATCTTTTTGATTTTCCTGATCTAACATTCCTAATTGTACAGACAAACTGCGATCTCCATCGGCGATAATTGGATATGGAAATGCGCCGGGAATATCTTGGCAATAAGATTTAATATCCTGTAAAATAAAAAAAAAAAAATTTATCTTCAAATTTCTAATTGAAATTAATTAAATTTAACACTTACATTCACCCAATCGACATGATCTTTTAATTCATCAACGGAATGTGCCAATAATTTTACATTTCGACGATCAAAATGTGGTTGATGAACAGCAAGTCGACCCAGTTCTGTTGTACAAACTGGAGTGAAATCAGCAGGATGTGAAAATATCACCACCCATCTAAATAAAAATAAATCGAATTTCACATTAATAATAAAAATAAAATATATTAAAAAAAAAAATGAAACATTAATAAAAAGAAATTTTTGTAATTTAAAATTACTCACGATTTTCCTTGCCACTCGTAAAATTCAATGGGTCCTTGCGTAGTATCAGCCTTGAAATTTGGAACGATTGAGTTTAATCTCATTTTGAATACACTTTCGAATTTCAATTTAATATAAAAAATAAATAATAATTATGATCCGATCTGAACCACAGAAACTTGTTCTTTGAAAATTGTGAGTGAAGTCAAGCAACTAAATATATCTTTAAGTCTCCCCTCTCCTTCAAAGAGAATTTACTGATACCCCATTATTATTATTGAAAATTGCATCAAGTTATTTAAGAGGAAAAATACTTCAAAAAATACAAATTTTTTTTTGATAAATTCCAGCAATTTTATAAAAAAAAATTTTTTTTTTTTTAAATTTTATCAAAAAATAAATCCATTGTAAAATAATAAATAATATTTGAAATTAATTTTCCAATAAAAAAATATATTTTCATTTAATGGATTGAATATTCTAATGATAAATTATTATCATTATAATTTATTTAAATTTTCGATTAATTAATTTGTAATTCAAAGTAGGCATTCCTTTTTTTTTCGAAATACAAAACAAATTTATTTCTTTTTTAAAGTGAATGCAAATAGTGATGAAAATTATTTTACATTAAAATATAATTTATAAAAAAATATATTTTGATATATATTTTTATTATAAAATAAAAAGCGGATATTATGCAATTATTAAAAAGCAGATGTAATCTGAAAAAAAGAACCTACTTATCACTGTAAATTACAATTTTTCCTGTTAACACCCAACCAAACAATATCTTATCTTTGTTTATTCACTCTAAACTTAGAATTGTTAAAGCTACTGAATATGCTTACAATTAATAAAAATTTATATATATTATTTGAATTATTATTTAAATTATAATTTTTTGAATAATATAAAAATTGACGTTTATCAATTTACAGTTAGCCGTTCCAGACGTTGTGGAAGCTGCAAAAGATGCAGATATTCTCGTTTTTGTAATTCCTCATCAATTCATTCCACCGCTTTGTGCTAATTTACTTGGAAAAATTAAACCAACCGCAGTAGGATTGTCCTTGATTAAGGTATAATTTAATTCCATGATGTTATTAAAAAAAAAAACTATTTTAATTATGGTTTCATTTTTGAAATTTTCTTATCAGGGATTTGCAACAGGAACTGATGGCAGTATTGAATTGATCTCGAAAATTATTGAGAAACATTTGAAAATTCCTTGTTACGTATTAATGGGTGCCAATTTAGCCAATGAAGTGGCCGAGGAAAAATTCTGTGAAACAACTATTGGTGATTTTTTTTCATTTAAAATTATAAATATTCTCTAAATTAAAATTTAGATTCTTTAAATTTACTTTTTATGTGTTAATTAAACAGTTTTTTTTGTGCTTGCGAAAAAGAACCTGCTCATAAATATTAAAAAAAAAAAAAAAAAAAAAAAAAAAATAGATGCGATGAATATTAATGAAGATGATGGAGGATTTATATGAAATTCCATTTAAAGTCTGAATGACACTTTACTAAGGTGGATCAATGTCATTTTTCTTAGGTTGCAAAGATAAACGTCTGGCACCACTACTCAGGGACATCATTCAAACATCAGATTTCAGGGTCGTTGTGGTAGAAGATTGCGAAGCTGTCGAAGTCTGCGGTGCACTTAAGGTAACTTGAAATATTACATAATCCCACTGTAACATTTTAACAAATACAATTAGCATTATAAAAGTCATTTAAAAACTCCTCTGGAATTTAAAAAAAATTTACATTTCACTTTTGGAAATATTTTTCATAAGAATTTAAATAAAAATTTCTCATAAAATTAAATCATTAATTTTCAGAATATTGTAGCATGTGCAGCAGGATTTGTGAGTGGTTTAGGATTAGGCGACAACACCAAAGCGGCAGTAATAAGACTTGGTCTTATGGAAATGGTTAAATTTGTCGATACATTTTACGGTGGTTCTAAATTGTCAACATTTTTTGAAAGCTGTGGTGTTGCCGATCTCATCACCACTTGCTATGGAGGAAGAAATCGTAGAGTTTGCGAGGAATTCGTAAAATCTGACAAAGTAAAAAAAAACAAATAATTATTTACATAATATATATATGAAAATTTTGTTTTCAAAAATAGAAAAAAAATTTGTTAAATATTTCAATTAATGAGATTGAATTTTTCAGTCAATAAAACAACTGGAAGATGAACTTCTGGGAGGACAAAAATTACAAGGTCCAGCAACAGCAGATGAAGTGAATGGAATGTTGAAAATGAAAAGCATGACCGAAAAATTTCCATTATTCACTGCCGTTCATCGTATTTGTACTAAGGAAATTAAACCTGCGGAATTAATAAATCAAATCCGCAATCATCCAGAACATGTGTTAGTATTTTGTAAAATTATAATAAGAACTTATTTATTTTGCTTAAAAAAAAAACTGAGTGTGTTTTTATAATATTCCTTGACTACAATAATAGAAACTATTTTTCTACTTATGGTAGAAAACATTATACTAATTACTTTTATAAACGAATTGTTTCTAAAAAAAAAAAATAATTTTTATTATAAGTTATTAATAATAGTAACTAATTATCCGATTGCCATTGCTTGAATTAAATTAATTTTTATTTAATAGCAAATTACACAAAATTAATTTTTTCTAATTTACATCACAGATTTTTTTTTCTTAAAAAACTTGTTTTGACTTTGTTTTACGTTTTTGTTTTCCCTAAACCTTTGACATTTTTTTTTCTTTGATTTATCATTAATGAGAAGTTTGTTAAATCGTGACCTCATTTCAGTAAAATCATGAGTATTATAATCATTATCAAACCGGTAAGTTCAACTTATTTATCTTAAATTTTAATAAGACGTAATATACAATTTCTAAACGTATGTTTATAACATTCGATTACAAATTTTTGATTGTAACCATTAAAGGAAAATAAATCAATGTCTTTTGTAAAGATGATGTCTTATCTTATCTTTAACAGACATCAATTTATTCACTTGTATTAAATATGAATAAGTATATTGACAATTATAAAAATAAAGGACATAAATATTTAAAAAGACTTTAACTTTCAGAATGAGAATGGAGGGAGTCATTGAAGATCCAGATAATTAGAAATCGACATTTCTGTCTTCATTGTACATTGGTCCAAAAAAAAAAAAAAAAAAAACTGCTGTTCATGATTATCAAACATGTACGGATTTTAGTATGATAAACATTAAAATATTGTAAATACATTTGTGTTTTCCTGAAAGTATTATAGAAAAAAAAAAAAAAAATTAAAGTATATTTTATCAAATAAGAAGTTTTTCTATTTAAACATTCTTTTGAACCAATTAATTAAACAATTAATTTTTTTTTGAAATTATATTAGTCTATAATACAGATTTATTGAAATATGACTGAATAGTATATGTAAAATTAGCTGTACAAATATTACATAAGTACCTGGATGGATATTAAAGTTCTTTTTTTGCTGGAGGACTATTACAAGTTTTAGTAGATAAATTGCAACTAAAAGCTGTTGGATCGGGCACTGCAGTATTGTCAACTAAATTATCACTTTTTATTCGAACTTCTGTAAATAAAACAAAAAATTAATAATCACAGGTAAATTAGATAACCAGAAATCCAAAAGAATAACGATAACATATAAAATTCTTTTTCAAGAAAATACAAAATAAATTTTATTTCAAGGTCACATGCTATATAAAAATTTTAATGAATAAAAAAAAGAACGTTAACTACGCAAAATATATATTTTTATGAATATTCACTTCGTTATATTTATTAACTGAAATATACTTTTTATAATATATTCAACTGAAGCATCTTTAAACATTAAATAATTAAAATTTACATAATTACCGTATTTTCCTGGCTCTTTTTCAACTGCTTGTATTATTCTAGTTCTGACTTCTTTTTCCACGGCTAAAGCAGTTTCGTTCAACTGAAAAAAAGTAATAAATTGTATTCAATATTAATAATATTTTCAAGTATATTCTTTATGAGTTTAAATACCTTTTTAATCTGTTCAACATCTCCTATATTCATATTCTTTCTGTATTCGTCATTTATCTTATTTCTCACAACTAAAAATAGTTATAAATTATTGTTTTATTTATTTTAAAAATTTAACAATTATTATTAACATAACAATGAATATATAATTAATTATTAATATGAAAAAATTTACCTTGTAGTGCGTGATCATCGTTTTGAAACGTATTCAATCGTGTCCTATGTAATATTTTAAATATTTTAAGTACCTAACAAATTTTCCAATATTAATAATTATTTAAAACTTCAAAGTAAAGGATAATAATACATTTAATATTATAAAAGAAAATAGAATAATAAATATTTGTAATCTATGTGAAATTTTGCATAATAAATATTTACATATATGTATAAAATAAATCCTAACCTAAAAATGAATTAATTGTTGCATGTTTCATTGCTTATAGTTTAAATTTAATTAAAAATTGTAATAAAAATTACCTCTTTTCGCAGATTTCCACTCATTTTTTTTTAATATGTTTTTTGTTAATTATGCAAATTTCAAATTTTGCCAATTGGCAAATGAAAATTTTGGTATTTCAATGAAGCACACACTACATTTAATTTAAAAATATTACTACGTGGTCATTGACCGTTTATTATGACCTTATCTAATATGGAAATAAAATAAAAATAAAAATTACTTGAATGTTTTTCATAAAAACGACAAAACTTTATGTATTTGTTTTCGTATGCTTGTTGACATTGTCGTCTGCTAGATCAGCTGTTCACCAATCAGATGTCAGATGACAAACTTTCTAAAAGCTTCTAAAGGTTTTCTACATAAAAAGTTAATAATTAGAACAAGTTATATTGATAATTAAAGTGACTCATTGTGTCAATTAAATTGATTTAACATTCACTGAAATGGATTGTTTTTCTTAATAGTAAATGTGTCGTAAGTATTTAAATTGACCTTAACAATATATGAACATAACCTATATTTTTTTTTACTAATATGTAAATATATATACATACATTGTTTATATATTCTTATTTATTTATTTATTACTGGTATTATTTATTAGTTATAAATTTATGATATACATATTTTTTTATATTGACTACTCTTACTGTGCAGTATATAATTTAATGACGCATGTCAACCTTCCTTCTTTCCTTTATTGTATCTTTAATAATTATTTATTGTTACTATTGTTTTTCTTCTAAAACTATATGAAACAATTGTTCTTTTTAATGTAAATTTAATTCTTTCTCAATTGTATTTAACTATTTCTTTTTTATCTGTGTTAATTTTTTTTCTTTTAAAAAGTTTATCAAAATAATGGCAAAAGAATGTCCAAATTGTGGAAAATTAACAAATAGTACACAAACAAGACTTGTAAAAGATTCTTGTGGTCATACAAAATGTCGAATGTGTTTATTACATGAAGAATATGGTTGTAAATCATGTGACAATGAAAAGAAAATCCAGCAAATTGGTAGTTTTGGTAAGATGCATTATTAAATTACAAAATTTATATCAAAAAGAATTATTACATAAAATAAACAAGGCCGTATTTTATTTGCTATAGATTATCCAACTCAAAGTTTTTCAAGAACAAATGGAACAGAAACTTTAAATTTAGAATCATCCAACAGTAATACATCAACAGAACATGGAAATCTATTGGTAAATAAATTAACCAATTATGAATTCATACCTTGCGATCTCTCGTCTGAAAAAGAGAGAACAGATTTTACTGCAAATACTGATAAAATTGTCTGTGAAATTGAAAACGAAGATGATAATTGGACTCTTAAGATAGACGAAGAAAATAAAAATAATACTGAAATTTTATCCCCGAAAAAGGATAATGTAAGAATTCATCTTCAAGTAATACGTAAAAAATCTTGTTAATGTAATAAATTATTAAAAAAAAAATTTATAATTCCTTTTTACAGAATCCAAATAATGAAGATAGTGAAAGAGAGAAAGCTTTAAAAAATAAACGAAAACTTATAGATCGTAGTCATATATCAATTATATCTGGTTCCCCAGAAAGATATAAATGTGATGCATGTGGAAAAATTTTTAGAAGTAAAAAAGGAACATGCTATCATGATTCTTGTGTAACAGGAATTCGACCATATCAATGCACATTGTGTAACAGAAGTTTTGTGAAGCGATCTCATTTTGAATATCACGAAAGAACTCACACTGGATATAAACCATTTAAATGCACTCTTTGCGACAAAGCTTTTATTCAAAATAATAAACTTAATCGTCACATGTTATCACACAGTAGTAAGTTAATTTAATAATTATACATTTTATTGCATTTAATTTTAATATATTAAATTTAAAAAAAAAAATGCTCTCCTTTTATAGAATTGAAACCTTTTACATGCAACAATTGTGGAAAGTCTTACCGAAAGAAGGATGACCTTAAATATCATATGACTATTCATTCCCAAACAGCACCAACTCCTTTTCAGTGTAAAATATGCGGAAAGACATTCAGAGTTTCATCGAATTTAAAACGACATATTCTCATTCATTCTAGTTAGTTTCGCTCGTTCCGTTACATACTTTTATTGTTACGTTCACGAAAAAAAAAATTTATACTTAATTTCTTTTTCAGACGATCGACCTCATGTTTGTGAACAATGCAATAAAGGCTTTAAAGATAAGTCTCTATTAAAGCGCCATAAACGAATTCATGAGAAAGAAAGACCATTTTCCTGCGCTCATTGTTCAAGATTATTTCTATCAAAATGTGAATTAAGACGACACATGACAACACATTCAAGTATATTTTCAATTTCATTAAATCTTTTAATTAATTTTAAAGTTTTTATTCTATTCTATACTCTTCTATTTATTCATAGGTGAAAAACCATTTTCTTGCCAATTTTGTAAAACAGATTTCCGACGAAAGGACAATTTAAATCGTCATATAAGACATCATCATTTAGATGATAATATCGCATGTGAAAATAATTCCTTGAGTGGTGAAACAAAGCAAAAAGCTTCTTTAAAACAAAAAACAAAGAAATCGAAAAAATCCTCTACCACTTCGTTAAATGGGAAAAATTTGAAAAAAGAATCCACAGACTTTACAAATTCGCTGAATCAAATAAATTCTCGACTTGATTCAATGGGAAATATTACTCCAGTTATTCGAACTACCGGTGAACTTAGCAATGCAGTTCCTGTTATAAATGGACCAATTAGCATAAAAAAATTTGTGGAAAATACAGAAACACGTAAAAAAACATTCACCTATATTGAGCCTATACCATTGGCTGAAGCAGTTGTTATAAACAAAAGAATTGAAGAAAAATTATATCAACAAAATGCAAGTAACAATTATTTTTTTCGTAATTATTCCACTTCAAGTAGATCTAATAGTTTAATTCACAATCAAAAAAGTGATAATGAAAAAACTAATCAATCGGAAAAAAATTGTGTCAAATTAAAAATGAAAGATTCATTAGTAAATAATGAATTTGATTCTAAAAATTCACGTTTAGATAAAGGACAAATTAATTTGGAACAAAAATTTAATTTATCACAAATAATAAATAAAAATTCTAATATCGATTTACGTAATTTGCACGCGAAAAATACAATTTTAAATAATGAAAAAGTCTCAGATTCAAGAATTGAAAACGAGCATTCAAATTATGTATCTACAATAAAGCACATTATACATTCAGAGAGTCAAATTGAATCCAGTGGCTCTTGTGAAAAAAATTCTGATGTGAAAGAATTGCAAAAAACGTACAGCACATATTGGAGACGCAGAACTGCTGAAACGTTAAAACCAAATTCTAAATAAAGATATAGAATTTAAATTAAATAAATTTAAAAATAAATTTTTAAATTAATTATCTTTTTAAAAGTATTTCTTAATTTATTATTTTACAAATTAACGAATATATTGCTTGCTATTTAAAACTTATATTATTTTAAGTTGAATTTAATTTAGAAATAATTTAGAAAATGTAATTTTTCTAATGAAATGTATATAATGGATTTTTAGAAATCACGCAAGGCGTAATTTTTTACTGCAATTAAAGTGTTTTAATGTTGAAAAATAATAGTTGTTGAATTATTAAACTTGACTCCTTGGAACACTAAATGCTTCTTGTAGATAGAAAAATGAAAAAATTAATTATATTTATTTATTGGGAAATAACATTAGGATAGATTAGTAGAAAATTATAAGATGAAAATAACAAAACACGTCAATTTATTACAAGTAATTTTATCGTTTTATATTTATTTCACTTCTTCATCATTCGGGATTACATTGTGACATTGATATGAATATGAGAAGTGTAGATGTAAACTCATAAGTGCTCGTGCTGTGTAATCGCATTATTACTAATTTCTATATATTATCTAATTGTAGGCATCATGACGAAAGTTCTTTCATTTTTTTTTTATATATAATAATAAAAAGTCTGTAACGGCAGTGAAAACATTCGCTTAAGTTGTACAATATATCAAATCGATCACTTTTATTTTCTTCGAATTTAAAGAATTATTATCTTGCACAACATGTTTCAAGTGTTCCGCATTTATTTTTGTTTTAATTCATTTTTATGTACATTCGATAAAATTCGCTAAACCTTTTTACTCAAAACTAAACTACCGATTCTAATCGCAAAAAGGGATTAATTGAAGAAATTGATTTTTTTTTTTTGCTTTCTCACATTTAAAAAAAAAATAATAAGCGCTGATTACATTCAAAGCTACAATTTCATACAGAGATGCAGCTACGGCTGTGAAAAGCAGTTCTTTCGAAATATATCAGACTTGAATATAATATATATTATATATAATGTAAAAATCTTTGAAATATTGTCATAAAAAATTTTCATTTCGAGCGTAAATTTAAAATAACGTTGATTTAGATTTTTTTTAAATTGAACATAAGAAAATGTGAAAAGTCCAAACAAGGTCTTTTTTTAATTTTTTCTTTTTTCTAACAAAATTTATAAAAAATTTACTTCTACAGAAATTTTTTGCATAAAATATATCTTTTTACCCAAATTTCTATAACAGTAGTACTTAACATATATTTTTTTTTTTTTTTAACCAGAATTCAATTATAAAAAAATAACTGGACTTCTCACAGACGGGTTACCCTCTTAATATAACATTTGATAACTTCTTAAATAGAAATATATAAACAAAAAGACATTTTTTTTTATATCAACTAGAGAGCGTGATTCGTTTTTTTAGAAAATGATAAAACGACCCATTATGAGAATGTACAAATGAAAATTGGAACAATGAATTTTTTTTTTTTTCGAAAATTATAAACTACGCTGTCATTGCATCAAATTTAGTATATTATACAATTTTTTAATAAAATCTCTCGCGTATATAATATATACAATTTAGTGTTTATAATCACTTAAAATTAAATATCGCCATTAAAATGTTAACGTTTTTGAATTAAATCTCTTTATTGGTTTTCATTCTCTGTGTATAAGTGTATATAAGAATTTTTTTTTTTTCGTGAATACGATCGTGTGCGCGTGTTAATTATTTACAAATAACATCTCATTTCGGTACCAAATACTCGTTAAAATTATTTTTTTTTCTATATACAAGCTCCTCAGTCTTGAGTGGAGTTTCGAGTGACTTTATTAACATTTGCCCGATCATGAGAACATATTTTATTATTTTTTAGAGAAGATCAGATATAATTCGGAGATCAAGTTTTTTGTATCTTATAAATTTCTGCAAAGTTAGTTTTAGTTTTGATTTTTCCAAGTTTTCTTCCTTTTTTTCGCTTTCTTCATTTCAATGAAATTCAAGTGAAAATTTTTGAATGTTAGGAAAAATTTTGTTAGATGTAGAAAATAAACTTTTTCAAAAAATTGTTATCGTTTCCGAAAATTTGTAAAAAAAAAATTCAATCGGATTATTGAATCAACGACTTTCTGATAAATAATTAAAAAAATTGGAGACAAGATGAAAATTAATTTCTAGATGATTCTGAGGAAAAAAAAATGTTCATCAAGCTTTTTACAACTAGGTATTATTTGAATTCAAATTACGTATAGTATACCGTTGTATCATAAAGAAAGACGTTGCTCAAATTTTCGGAAAAGAAAATCTTTGACAGTTTTCCCCACAAAGATTATTCCCTATATAATCAATTATTTTAATGATTAATTTGTTAATTATTTTCCTCGACAAAAATCTCTGAGTTTTTTTTTCATTTATCAACTCTTAATTCTTTTAAATTTCAAAAAAAAAAAAAAAAAACATGAAAAAAAATCTCAGAGAAATATTGTTTTAGGAGTCAAGTGAAACTTATATAACTAAGAAATTAAATCCTAGGTTTTAAATCTCATTTGGAGTACAGATTAAAAAAAAAAACCATATTCGATTGACTTTGAAAAATTGAAAAACAGAGAATAGAAAAGAATCGAGAACATATAAATCTCATTTGTATAAATCATAAAAAAATAAATGTAAAATATGTTCTAATAGCTAAGATTGTAAAAAATATTACATATCACTATAAGAGACGATACTTTTTTTCAATTGCATCGTTGAAGACTTCCTTTACAGAAATTATTTAAAGAGACATCGAAAGCTTTCGGAAGAGAGGCAAGGGGAAGTATTTCTTAAATATTGTTAAATTTATACATCAAAATAAATTCTCTCCTTGTTTTTCAGAAAAACTGAAATTCTTTTAAAATCATATAAGCTTATGTAGAAAATAATAATCTACTTTTTTTTTTATTTACATATGAAATACATCGCATTGGCACAGCATATTGCGTGCCTGGACTGCCACCAATGGTGAAAAAATTTTGATTTTTTTAAAATCTAAAAAATCAACATTTAGAAAAAGCCATTGAACTTAAATAAAAATCCAAAGGAAATTAAAATAATTTAAATAATTTTTAAAAAAAAAGGAAATTTTATAAATTTCATCTAAAAAGGATTCTTATAAAATTTGTCTAGAGTTAAAAGTCTCAAAAAGTTAAGACAATAAAACAAATGTTTTTTTTTAAGTAAATAAAAGATTTTTGCGCTTATAGGGTTTACTCGTTAAAAAATATTTACAAGAGGTATTATAAAGGGGAAATTTTAATTAAAAACGCGATATTTGAAAAATGTTAATTATGATTTTTTTTTATGTCAAAATTGTAATAATACATTTCATAAATCTAATCGAAGTAGACTAAATATATATATATATATATATATGTTTCACGATAAATTTACATGCTTAATTCATTTAAATATTAACTATCTACAAATTTTCTCTAGAATCGATAAACTTGAACATTTTATGAGATGCTACCGCAATATAATTATGGTTGGCAGTCCTGGCTTTTAATGGAATGTCATAATCTCATATATCGTTATAAGACCTATTCATTAACGAAATTACTTACATCAGTAAACACATTCTCTATACACTACAATGTGTAAAATATTTACTCTTTTAAAGTGACTCAATTTAAAATCAATTATAGCTAATCGAGGCAATAAACAATTTTTAGTATATTTAATATAGGTATTTACTTTCAAATTTTTAATTTGAAAGAGAAAAACTACAAAATCTGTTGGGAGATTTTTTTTTGAAAAAGCGATGAAAATGACATTTTATAAATTTACAAAAAAATGAACACGATAAAAATATGATAAATGATGAAATTTAAATTTAAAAATATCAAGATTAACAATCAATTTTAAAATGAGTACTTTCGATCGATTTGCACGTTCAGTTATTCAATAGTCATCTAGCACAATTTTCATGTATTTTTATATATATAATAATATATATATATATATATATTTCTGTTTGGTCTAGATTATAACTAATAGTGTACATTTATCGTTCAATATGGATAATAATTCAAATTAGCAAAATGTACCTAAGCGGAGTGATTTCAATTGATAAATGGAAATAATACAGAAAAATATTTCCCAAGTACAAATTTCATAGAAATCGAATCCTTAAAAATTGTTTCCATAGACGTCGACTTTTATGTTCAAAAAATTGTTTTTGTTATAAAATTCGTGGATTAAAATTTTGTCAAATAAGTAATGTAACTAAATATTTCTAACGAATTTCTGAAAATTTTCAAAAATTCAGAATAATTTAATAATAATTATTTTATTAGTAGTAAAAGATGTTTTTTTTTTTTACTAGTTTATGACAGTAAGGAAAAATTTACTATTTCGAAAAAGTCGACATCTATGTTATTATTTACAACTGTTTTTATTTCTTCGAAAAAGGCACTTAGGAATATTTTTCATTTAGTAACTCCCAAAAATAGAAAATAGCTGCCTGCATTCTCTCTCTCTCTCTTTTAGCATAATCTATAAACGACGCTCAGAGCTACAAAATTTAATGTACATACTTGGAATATCGTTGACGGCAAGATATTAACGCTATATTTATTTACAAAATTCGGTTCTTGCGTCTGGATGATTCGTCATGTTGTTTCTTTTTTTTGCGCTCATTCAAAAATTTTATTTGAATCGCAACGAATTTATGACAAATCGAACTAAAACAAGTTTCGTTTATTAAACTCAAGTTCGAAACGTATTATTCTTTTTTTTTATATATATATATTTATATATAAAGTTTTTTTTTTGCACGTATCACAAGCGTAAATAAAAAATATTAATTCGTCTCGCTATTTTTTCATCTTTTCTCGCTTTTTCTATATCTTGTACAAAATACATTAAGCGCTACGTATTATCGTTATCTAGCTGTCTTCAATGCAACACGCGTATAACAACTTCGAACTTTTTTTTTTTTTGTTGTGTCCCTACTGAGTTTTTTTTTTACTAAACAAGTTTTTTATTTTTGTTTTGTTTTTCTAGAAACGAAAATGAGGCACTTACCCAAGTCCCCTCTTTTCATACCGTTTTTATATTCTATACAGATCAAAATGCCAACAAATACACATGGAAGGCACGCCTCATCAGCTGCGAATGCTTATGTCCTATGCAACGTCCCCTTTATTTTTTTTTCTTTTGTTTTGATCTAAGCACCTAACAGGCCACTACTAAGAACACAGTCCTCTAATCGTATCACATTTTTTCAATTACATCCTACATTTTTCGCCATTATAGACTTCTGTCACAAACGTCATTCTGGATAAGCGTCCAAATCAATAGCAAAAAGCTAATTAAGCGTATCTTGGTTTCAAAATATTCATTTTCCCTATGAGTGAACACAATTTTCATTTAACATGCATAAAATAATTTTCTTTTTTTAAAAGAAGTCAATATACATCCGAAGATAAAAACATTTCTGTATAATACAGATTTTTTTTTTCTTTATACAACTAATAGAAAATTAAATAGATCAATCGATAAAAAATATATATAACGAAGAATCATAATTTAATATTTATCGACAAGGACATTTTCAATGTCCTAACAATTGATTATATAAAAAAAATTCAAAAATTGATTATCTTATCACTAAATAAATTTATGTGTCTAGACGACTGTAGACACAATTTAAAAATTTCATTATTGAAGAATTTAATAATAAAAATTTATAAAAAAATTGTGTTCAATGGGAATTTGAATTTTGAAATAAAGCTTTACGATTTAGACGGAATTCTAAAATTTCTTTTTGAAGAAAAACAAATAAAAAAAAACATTTTTTTTATATCGCTATATTGTGTTGCATTTAGAATATCAAAATTTTATTTAAAAATAGTCTAAATATTTTAGATAACAAATATTTTCATGTTCTTGCTCTCTATGGAAACATTTTTAATATGATCAACATAGATAAATTTGATCGTATTTTATTTTATTTTTTCCCCTCTATATTTCTCATCTTTCGAGAGAGAATTCAAGTTTTTAATTTAATCTACGAAAATCTCTTGAAAATAATTTTTTGGAAATTCGTTTAAAAATTCTATTTTTTTTTCCCTTCTAAAAAGTCGGAACTCCCTCTCGAAAGTTAAAGAAAAATCTTTTCCTTTCAAAAAAAAATTTCTCAAATTTTCTTAAAGAAAGTTTTTTTTTTTGGAAATTTTTCAAACATTTATGTTTTAAGGCTGAAGAGATGATTTTTTTTGCCAAAGACTAAGACGCACAGTCTCTTAAATCATATTTGTCTTTCCACGTGCTTTCACGAAGTTCTCTTTTTAAAATAAAAATATCCTCATTCGTTACTGAATTTTGAGGATATCTCAAGCCCATATTATAATTCTGTGAAGAATCAATATTGGGTTGCTGTTGCTGTTGTTTATTGAGCATATCATTTCTATACCCACCAGGTTTCATAAAATCCAAATCATCACTTCGCAAATGATCGGTGTATAATTGACGACTGTCCTTGTTGTCATTTTGTGCAACGTACATAATAATATCGTTGAAATTGGGAAGAAATTGAGGATTAAATAGCGAGAGTGATTTTTTACTTACACGATTAGGATCATGGGTAGGCACCATATAGTGCTCATGCATTTCGCGAAATTTAGGCTCATCACTGCGCGATGGACTTTCTTCATAAAAATCCAATAGCTCCAAATTATGATTAGAATAATTTCTTGCTGTATCGATGGAACGATTCATTTTGGAGTAAATTTCCTGAGAAAGAGCGCCCTCCTTACATTTTCGCCTTAAGCTGGCTTTATATTGTTGTTGTTGTTGATAGGGAATTTGACCCATTTGCATATGCAAGGAATCCAGATTAATCTCTGAACTATAACCTTTATTGAGCGTTTGCTCAAAGTCAGGACTCGCGTAGAGATTATTTTCTGAACTACTTCCAGAAATTGTGCAAGGTGTCATATCATTCCTTGACTTGATGTGCTCAGAATCCCCGTCTTCGTATGGGTTTTCAGAGTGCGACATGTCGGAGGAACTTGATACCTCTGGGTCGGGGGGCAAGCCTCAGACGGCTTGTCGTCTTCTATATCATATATACGTTTTCTTGACCTTTTGCATTGGCTTGTTTTCTGCTGACGAATTGGCATTTTTCCCATTTGGATTTTTAGGCGGGACATTTAGAACAAGATTTATTGACTTGTTGTTGTAACCAGGGGAATCAGTGGTTTCTGTAAGTCGATTCAGCTGTTGCCTCTGCTCAGAAGGATCGGGATATGGCGCATTTCGTAACCTTTGGGAAAACCAAAACCCAGAGGCAAAACCCGCTATGAGGGAAAAGAAACATGTTCCCACCAATGCGCCCGTTAGAGTTTGTGCTGAATACACAACTGGTGTTACTGCCACTCCTGAAAATAAAAAGTAAATAAATTTTGATTTACACAATTTTTATTCACATGGAGAGATAAAAATATATTTGTTTTAATAAATAAAGGAAGCAATTTTTTTTCATTTTCCAATGATTTTGTTATTTTGTTTGTTTTTGTTAAAAAAAACATTAATGTTAGTATGAATGACAAATGTAGATTTAATGAATGTTAAAAGTTAGAAACTAAAAAAATAATGTTAAGGAAACACGAATTACTACCTTGAGGTTCATTAGCTCTAGGTTGAGTGCGACTATATTGATTTTCTCGATCCAGTTCGATGACAATTTCATTGTCACGTTCATCGGGTAGCTCTCCACGCCCGATACGAGGTGGAATCACAGGTGGTATAGACTTCGCCATTTCTGAAGCAATATTCGCTAATTGACAGGGACAGTTCACACAATTTCAGAAAAATAATCATAAAACACAAATAATAATATAAAAAATATTTCGAAAAAATAGAAATGAATAATAAAACATGCAAAATGAAAAACAGGTTTTTAAAAACGAACAATGAATAAACGTTGAAAAATTACAACTATGAATGAAATTTAAATAACACCATTTATGTTAATTTTTTTTTATACTCAGAAAATATGAATTTCGAATTTATATACTTTATATTGAAAGAAAGCTCATATTCCTTGGTATGTGTTTTATGTGAAAAAGCAAATGAGAAGCGTCGAGTAAATGAGATTTTTTCATACTGCGTATACCAAATATATGTATATATATAACAAAAGAAAAGAATCCCAGAATGATACATATAATATTTGAGAAAGAAAATTCCTCTTGATCATAGTTTCAATTTTTCAATCTAAAAATTCCTCTTGAAAGAATCTCGAAAAACAAGATAATGAAAAAATTACAAAAATTCTAAGAGAATATGTATACAATAGAACAATTTTTTTTTTTAAAAAAAGATTTAAAAGATCCGAAATTCATAAAATAATTTTCTATCTTATATGATTTGATAACTGAATATACAATGACAAAAAAGATATTTACCTGGTTCATATCCACATCCTTTGTGTTTTCCATAGACAATATCTTGGAATAGAGTTTTTTCCGCATCGTTGTCGTGAAGTTTCGTTGGCACAGCCACACAAAGATTTGTGGTTGCATCCCAAGCGCAATGTGGATCTTGCAATGCAACACAAGCCGAACAAGTATTGGCAGACGGAGAATCACAATGATGTAAAGGAACGGCTCGAATTTCTGAATCTGCGATCACAACTAATTTACTGGCCTCTCCTGCGAGGTGAACAACCTGCAGATCCTTTACAGCTTCACCTTTTTTTTTTAAAAAAAAGCAATAAATTTCTCATTATTTATTATTGATAATTTCTTCAATAATATTTCAATAAAAGAAATTTTTCAAAAAGATGAAAAGCTTCTTTCGAGTTTTATAAATATGAATTTCTTATTATATTCATAATACAGAAATAGGTATCAAAGCGTCAAAAGCACTTCAATATTCTTACCGTGTTTGAGCACCTGAACGTCACTAATAATATTTTGTCCCGCATTACTTCGAGAGTAAGGAGCTCTTGTGTTAAGCGCTTTCAACACCCTGCCGTCATCTGAAAAAAAATTATTATTAATTAGTCTCAGAGATGGAATTTAAAATGAAAAATTCATATTAAAAAAAAAGGTGTGAATTTTTTTTAAAAAATGATTATCGAGTGGACAATTATTAATTTAAAATTGGAATATTTTTTTCAAAAATACAAAAAAAAAAAAATGGCAAAAATTTTCATTAAAATCGGTGTGAATTTTTTTAAAATGAGAATATTTTCCAAAAAAAAAAAGTTGAAAAAAAAAATTCTAAAATTATAGTAAAATAAAATCTTGTAAAAGAAATTTCTTACCAGTTCCAATGTAAAGTACATCGTATGTCTTTCCATCGAGGGCTTTTACTTGTGGATCAACAGTGACTTTAGTAAACCTATAACTAAAATTGAAAAAATTTAATTAAAAATTCGATATTGAATTATAAAAGAAATTATTAAACAAAATTTTCAAATTCAAAAGGAACTTACTTGTAGGTGACTTTCGATATTACAGGCAATGCGAAAAAAGATTGAACAGCATCATCCATGAGAGGATGAGCTTTAACAAAATTGACAGTGACATCGGGAAGTGTTCTCGAATCATTGACACAAGCTCCTGGTCTTGGCTCGGGGACTTTTTCAGGAAGAACCCTTAACCAATTGCTGTTAATAGTTTCCTGCTCCTTGAATGCTCCTTGGAAGACCTCAAGTATGCTACTCATAGGAAATGCACAAATAGCCGAACCTCCAATTGAATTTACAGGTGTAGTGAAAACTCCATAAACTAATTGTGCTTGCTCTCCGGCATAAATACCTTTAATCACTTCGCTCGTTGATTCTGTAATAAAAAGAAAAAAAAATTTGCATTAGAAAAATAATTATATTCAAAAAAAAAATGTTTCTAATCATTCAAAATTTGTTAATTTTATTTTTCATGGTTTTTTTTTCTATAAAAAGGAATAAAATAATTAGAAAGATTGTTAGTTGAATTTTGCAAATTGAGATTGTTTTCAAATTAGAAATTCAATAATTGCTTGTGGGCTATGAAAGGTAAATCGTTTGTGAAGTGCAAAAGTTAAAACTACCATAGAAAATTGATTGTTAGTTGCGGCAGAGCGCTCATTTTGCTGGTTGCAATAGCTAACTTATTGTTCTAGTTTTCAGCAAACGGTGCACGACATTAATCTCGAGTTTCTTGTTGTTTGTTCGGTCATAGCTTGTAATTCACCACAGACAAAGATGAATGTCGAGGTTTCGTTATTTTGCATTCGTGCAAAAAAAAAAAAAAAATGTCATATTAAATCTTACTTTAAAAAAAGTACTCGGTTTTAAAATATATTGCAATAAGAAAATTTGTCTCAATCGGTCATAATTATTCTCTCGCTATTTCAAACCACGGAAGGGAATTTTTTTTTCAGTTTGAAAGTTATAGAATTTTCTTAAGATAAAATCTCTCAAGTTTTTGGACTTACTTTTTTTTTTTTTTTTTTTAAACTAAAAGTAGAAACGATCGCGCTTTTATTTTCTTTGTGATATTTCAGACTTTGTTAGAAACTTTAGAAATGTCCAAGTTTTATAAAATCGAATAGTTTTGCTTTTTATCTTTTGAATTATACTCATAGCTTATATATATTTCCTATAGGTCGTCACGAACTTTTGGAGAGAATTTTTTCTTTTTCGATGTCTGGTGAAAAAGTTGAATATAAGTTTTTTTTTTTTCAAAATTGATGCGGCTGCTGTTTTCACCGCGAGTGATTCACTCGAATAGTTATCATATCTAGTAGTAACTATCGACTAAACTTTGTCAGAGGAGGGAGAAGTTAATAACTTAATTCAAGACACTGTGTATTAATCTTTGGAGCAAAACTAATTTTATGGTCATCAAAGTGGAAAGCTGATATCAAAGCTTTGAAATTGGGGTTATCAGAAAAGGTTTCGAATTTTTTTTTTTTAATTAAAATTTGTATATTGGCTTAGTTTAAAAATTAATTAAAATAAAAATAACTGTTTTTCTTTTCTTTTTATAATATGAAGGACTTTTTAAGTCTTCATTTTATTCGCAGATAATTTACTTTCACATGGTAGATTAATTTCTTACCCAAGGATAATTAAATTTCACATGGAAGATTAATTTTTTAAAAAGAAGGCTCGTAAATCCGGAGGTAATGTTCTAATTACTCAAGAGCGTAATTTGCAATTAAAAATTTACATAGGAACAGTCTGACACATTTTTTTTTTTTTTTTTGAACTTTCTGGCATTCAACGAGATTTCATTGCACAGTAATTTAATCTCTTTTTTAAGATACTGTCTTTCTTGAAATCATATTATTTTAAAAAAAAACAATAATTATAAAATCTTTGAAGAAAATTTCGTTTTTGAATAATAATTATTACAATACTCAAATTGAGTGGAAATTTGTTAATTGTGGTAATTTTGTGCATCTAGTGTCTATTGAAGGGGATTTCTTATTCTATGCTGAAAAGCTCTGACTTTGAGAGTAGTAACAGAGGGCAGTTTAAGTATCTCCTTGAAAAGGAAGTGAATTTCTTGTAGCGCCATTCAAACTTTCTTGATGTCGTTTCCCATTCCCTACTATATATATATATATATAGGCAACGTAGTAATTAACTTTTAATTACTTTTCTCGCACAGTGGCAAAGTCTGCAGATATTTAAGTAGGACTACTGCAAAACTAGTTGCTCACGTAAGGAGAAATTAAAGAATTATGTCCCACGACAACTAACTAATCCAAATGCTTACCTTTGCACTTCCGTTCTACTATCCAATTCACATTTATAACAAAAGACATCATTAGTTTACATTTAATCCAAAAAAAAAAATTGATTTCCTTTTTAAATTTTAATTAATTAAATTTCTTGAAATGTAAAAAAAAAGTTTTTCCACATATTTGCAAAAAAAGAATTTATCAACAATTCAGAAAAATATTCACTTGTGAAAAAAAAGCTTTTATTTGCTGTACAAATAAAAAAATTCCACCTATTTCCTGTGTCTATATTTTGAGAGTAAATTTTTGCGAAGCAGATATAAAAATGTTCACAGGCAATTTCTCATTTTCCACAGCATCATAGCGGGAAGTCTTTCCATTTGGTGAATGAAAACACGATGGCATTTGGGAATTGCAATTTTTCAATGGGGAGTAAAAAAAAAAAAAAAAAAAAAATATGAAAAAAAATAGAGAGACAATTGAGAATGTAAAGTAAGACTCGTTTTCAGGCCGTTGTCTAAAAAGCACCTAGTGGTTATAGACCTCTTAGACCTTCTCATCCGGTAAAAGCTTTTTGGTTCTCTGTAGAAAACTAATGCCTTCTATCAAACAGGGACCCCCCCTCGTTTTTACCCCCTCCCCCCACCACGAGCATTGTAGCACTCGATAAATCGCTCGAGTCTCGCGTCGCGAAATGAACCTCGCTATTCGTGCACAATGGCGACGATAGGGCAGGGATGAATAAAGAAAAGGGTTGCCTCTATATAGAGGAGGAGAAACTGGTATATAAACGTGGAATATTGTCGCCGCACATCGAACCGAAAATTCGAATCCAGTGGTAGTTGGCCACGTGCCAAAAGCAGGCTCATTCTGTTCGCTATATCCTTCCATGACGGGATATTGGACTAAAGGGGGTTGGACGTGAAAGTGGGTGGAGAGGATCTTGTCCGTGCCAAATCGCAAGTCCAAAACTACCCCTCGATATCTCGTTTCTCTTTCTCGACGTGGAACGTGTGCCGCTTCCCTTCTAGTTCTATACCAGGCTAATTCAAATTCAAATAAGTACTCCAAAAAATTTCCTTGAAATTCATCTCTCTTTTTTTTTTTCCTAAGGCGCAAAAATTGGAAATTTCATCTGCATTCTGTAAAATTAAATCGTATTAGAAAATTGTTCCAAAAGGAGGAAGAATTAAAAAAAAAACAATTTACAAATTAAAATGAATACTGAGATTTGAAAATAGAAATGCAATTTTTCGAATATAATTTTTTAAAAGAGCCTTTATTGGAATTCTCAAGAAGAAATTGAAAGAAAAAAAAAATTGGTCGAAACAAACGAAGATAATTGGGTAATTAGAAGGCAGTGGAAACGAAATTAAGGGAATTTAGCTAAAATAAAGACTGGTAATTATATTGAAGACGAGAGCAAGGAAAAATAAGATGAAATTGGATTGCGGTATAGATAAAAAAAAAAAAAAAAAGAAAACTTCTTTGTAGTACAGAATTAAAAAAGAAAAAAATAACAAGTGAAACGTGAAGAAAACGAGTAAAAAAAATATATAAGAAAGGTACAAAAATAAAAGGCAAAGAAAGCGCGAATCGAGAATATAAAAACCTAAAGAAAATAGAAAATGAAAAAAATATAAAAAAAAAATGAAAAAATAAATTTAAAAAAGAAATTAAAAAATAAAATCAGAAAATGAACACCAAGCAAGAGAAAAAGTCAAAATTAAGAACAAAAATTTAATATTTGAAATATTTTTTTTATTATTATTAAGTCTTTATCTATTTCAGTAATTAGAAAATAGCGTTTCATTAATATTTTCCTTTCTAAGCGATGAATAACGATAATAATAATAATTATTATTATTAATGAAAAATAAAATCCTTTTGATTGAAATTAAAAAAAAAAAAGTAATAACGAAATAGTAAGCTAATTATTAGATACTTTTATCCTTGCAATTATTCTCTTAATTATTCTCTTTTCTCTGTTGCTGACGGAATAATTACTATATAAAATCTTAAGACTTGTATTTTATAACGGAATTAGCTGCCATAACTGAATTTCATTTCGTCATTCAAGATTTCCTTGAGGTGGTTTATTTATTTATTTATTTTTTTTTTAGTGTATTTAAATTTATTTACCAACTGAAAAGCGCATAATATTAAAGAGTTTATGCTCTAAAATTGCTAATTTGATGCAGTAACAATAAATTAACCATGTGTTTGCGAAAGCCGCATGTTTACAGAGAAATAGAGCAGTTTATAATTTTAATTTTAACGATGCTCTCAGCTGAATAATATTGCTCTAAGATATTCGTTAAATAATAATGATTATTAAATGGGGCAAATTTTAATATATAATTTCAAGAAAATACAATCACTTCCCCAAAGGAATTAAAAAATTTATTTTTATTTAATTTAAACATTTTTTTTTCTTTATTTTAAATTCGACGTTATTTTTTGATTTTTAAATTTAATTTTTAAATTCAATTTTTAAATTCAATTTTTAAATTGTAGAAGAAAAATTGTTTTTAAATGATATAATTCAAGGTTTTTGCAAATTCTGACCCTGGAGAAATATTAATTTTAGAGAGAGAGAGAAAAAAATAATTCGTGACACAAAAGGGTTGAAGCTTTCAAAATGGAAACAAATGGAAATTGAAATGAACAGCTGAAGGAGCGGGAAAGTTTTGAAACTATGCTTCTTTATACATCAGGAAGTCTGATAAAAAATGCCTCAAGTTGGAAACTTCGTTTCCTAAGCTTCTTAGGGGCCAAGTCATATCTAAACTAAAATCTCAAGTTTTGAAAGGAAGCCAAGAGCTATTAGACCTGAAACTTGGAACTTTGTATGTAGAATGGCGTTGTAGTAAATAGTTTTGTTTGAAAATGTTTATAAGGAGGGTTTGTGTGTAAACTATCAGTTTGAGTAAAACACGTCATTTTCACTGGCGACGTGGATAAGTTTAAGGTACATCAATTACCCCAGGTGTTTATAATACAATACATGAAGGAAACGGACTGTTCTCTCATATTTGCAACGTTTTGCACACATACATATGTATAATTTACATTGGTATATTGCATCTGTCATGAGTTGGTTATTGTACACTACACTGGTTGCATTTCCGGGACTATATATGACACTTGAAAATGAACTCTCACGACTATAGTTGCAATTCTTCGAGATGCAAAACAACGGCATATATATATATATATATATATATATATATAATACATTTCGAGGGAGGACTGAACATGTACTTTGTGATCTTATTTGAGATCATTGAACATTGAAATAACGATTGAAAAGAAACTCGTGACGTTAGATCTTTGCTTTGACGCTATTTGATATTTAATGATAACATATCCCCCATGGTTCCAGCGATTCTTTGCGAGTCAATCATTTTTTATTCCCTTCCTATTTTTGCCTCTATTTTCTCAAAGCTCCTTTACAACAATTTTTATTCTAAAAAAAAAAAAATAAATATAAAAAAAGAATTTTTTATCAATTCTTTCAAAAAAAATTTTTTTTTTTGCCTTTACTGTCAATTTTAATTAAAAATAAGGTGACTGAATAATCTCTAAACTAAATATTTTAGAATTTTATTCTTTAAATTATTAATTTTGCTGAATATTTATTTGTTCGAATATTAATGTTTTTTTTTTTTTAGAAAATGCAAAGAAAATCAATTTTGACAGAATTTTTATTTAGACGAAAATTAATTAAATTAAATTTTGATCGAATCTTAATTTGATTGAAATTTTGTCTTGTAGAATAATAATTTGTCTGAATATTGTAATTTAAAAGAATCTTAATTTTGCTGAGAATATTCATTTAATGGAATATTAATGTTCGAGAAAATTAAAATGGTTGAAAATCAATTTACCAGAAATAATTAGGACGGAAACTTCAAATTTGACCAATCAAAAATTATCAAAAAAAAAAAAAAAATTGTGATTGGTCAAAATTTGAAGTTTTCATCGAATTATTTCTGTTAAATTGATATATTCGACCATTTTTTAATTTTCTCGAACATTAATAGAGCAAATGAATAATATTCTGCAAAATTAAGTATATCGAGAAAAATTACTGATTTTAAAGGAAAATATTGACATTATTCTAACAAAAGAAAGAGTAGGTATATTAAATTTTTCTTTTCGCGAAAAAAATGATTTTAAATTCCTTTTCTGTTAGGTAAAAAAAAAAGTATAGTTTTATGACTCCTTTTCCTGACGAAATAAATTTTCATGGACTCTTTCTTTTTTTTTTTTTGAAAGAAAGAGAGCTGTAAAAATTGACAAAGGAAAAAGCTTTTAAAAATTCTTTTTAGAAAATATCAAAAGTAAGATAAAAAATAAAAAAAAACTCACGTATTTCATTGAAGTAGAAAGGATAATCTCCTGGTATGGAGCAATTGAGCCTCGCTTTCAGGAAACTCGTCCATCTGTCACTAAAAGTGTGTGGACCACCTTTATCGTGTTGGCATACTCGACCGACACGTGAATATATGGCCTGAAAATAGAAAATAGCATTATCTCTGATAATTCACCAATAAATACCTCTCAAAATTGTGTTTAAACTTCAAATTGATTTTCAATATTTTACAAAATATTAACAAAAAATTATTTTATTTAATTTATTTTTACAAAAAAAAAAGTATTATTTAAAATAAATAAAGAAAAATATTTCAACTAATTAGTACGTTCATAATTGTTTGTTCAGAATAAATAGACTGATTTGTTAACATGAAAATGCCAAACTATAGGATTTGAAATTTGTCCTGAATGCTACGTTTTCGTATTGAGAGTGTGAGAGATGCTTACGCAAATATGAAATTTGCGTTCGTTTGCAACGCTGCATTTTGATCGTTACGAATTTAGATCCTCGAGTAGAAGAGAAGCAAAATCAAATCTCACCTTGCCGCAGTTCATGTATTCCACAGCAGTCTCACGATAAAAGAAGAACACGTAGTCACCATAGGCGAAAGAACTGACGAAGTTTGGTCCTGAAATCATCAATTTATTCACATGAAAAATTCTCATAATAAATAAAAACCAAAAAAAATCAATAAAATGAAAAAAAATTCACAAATTTTTTTTTAAATATAATAAAAAAATATTTTTTATATAGATATATAATAATTTAATAATATTAAATTATTATAAAACATTATCCTAATTGTATTATATATTATTACAATCAAATTTCAATTGAAGATATGTTTAAAAGATTTAAAATCGATTCTAGAAAATTAGAGCCTAATTAATAATTTCTATTCTATATAATAAAATTTTGATAATAAATACAAATAATCTACAATTTCATACACGAAAATCTCATCGCTTTAATAAAGATTTATTTACTTCATTCGTTATTTTTATATACCTTCATTATACTTGCGGTAATATCATACTGACGTATTCTATCTCACTAAACTGAAATTTGAAAAAAAAAATCCTAAATAATTAAGACATTTCAAAATTATTTTATCTTTATTTTTAAATTCACAACTATTTTATAATTTAAATATTAATTTTACTATTTTTTTTGCTAAAAGAAAAATTTTTATTCAATTTTTTAAAGATATGGAAAAATAACCGCGATAATAAAATTGATATTTAAAGAAAGAAAAAAAAAATTACAATTGGAAGATTCTTGGGAACATTTCTATTGTTAAGACTTCTAAGCTTGAAATGCCTTCACTGATATACGATATATTTATAAGGCGTGTGCGATAAGGATTGCATTACGATTATTCGATCGATATTCCGTTATACCGAACCTATCTAATGCAAACAGAACTAAAGCTATCAGTAGGAATTTGCAATTGGCACGCGTTGATTGAAAATACAATACTGATTGTTCTCGAATCTCATTAGATTTAACGAGATCTGCTATTACGTTTCTAGGAGAAAAAAAAAAAAAAAAAAAAAAAAAAATTTGTCCATTGTCTCTTAAAATTTGTTTAAACCGAAAAAAATCTTTTTTTTACAAAATTGAATTTTTTTTTTATTGTAATACTATTTAAAATATGAATAAATATAAACAAAAAATAGAAATTAATTTTTTTTTTTAAACTTCGAAAATTTTTCGAAAAGATTTTCCTTGATTTATATGAATATCAAGAGCTTTTTTTTATTATTAAAGAGAATTGTATATTATTCTCTCTCTTTTTTTTTTGGGCACTCTATTTTCATATTCTTTCAGTTTTCCCTAAGGAAATCAGAAACATTAATATTTCATTCCTTATAAATGTGTGATCAATTGCGAAATTGGAAATTCACTTTACCATTCAGTTGGTTCAAATCGGAGCGTTCGGTCCGAATTCTCTCCCTGTGAATTAGCGGTTCACCACCGAAGTAATCGGCAACGGTTGCTGCATACAGTTGACCACCTGAAATAGTACAATAATCATGGAAATCACTTGCAGAATACAGAGAGCTGAGGCCAAGTAAATTCATGGCATTTGAAAACATCCATTAAGAATTTCTACAATGTTCCATTTGAATAATATTTTATTTATACAAAAAAAAAAAAAAATTACTACTGTTTCAATTGAATATATTTTATTTATTTGTATCCGGAAAAAAATACGAGAAAGTATTATTATCAACGAGATTTATTTAAATATTGGAAAAATAATAAATGATATCTAAAATTTTAATTAATATGAAACACTATATATTTATTTAATTCAAAAAATCAGTTAGACTATTATTAAATAACAAGCAAAACTAAATGCGCGCCAAATTGAGTATTTTATTGTTTGTTATAAAGAAATTAAAGATTAATATTATCAATAATAATTTAATTTATTAGAATATTATTACATATTAAATGATAATAATGAAAATTATATGTTTACAGGCCTCGGATCCGACTTTTTTCAAAAATACGACTTTTATTGACTTCTTTTAATAAAATGCGACATTTTTTTTTACATTTGAAAAAAATGTAAATAAAATACATTTTTTTTTTTAGTATAAAATGTAGATTTTCTTCAGATCTTCTTCAATTCAATTATTTAACAAATTTTGAACTAAAATGATTCTTTACTAAATTAATTATTTTTAATAATTTTCATGAAAATACATTACAAATTCAATTATATCAAAATTATTTTTCAATTAAAATTTTTATGAAATTTAACAATTGTTTATATAATTTAAAAAAAAAAATATCACAATAAAATTGAATTATTTTTTAAAAATTTTAATTCAAAATAAACATTATTACCCGAAATTTTAATTCAAAATCAATTAAAAATTCAATAATTATCGAAAATTTTCAAATTTAAAATTTAATTATTTACCAAGTTTTCAATTAAAAAATGAAATAAAATTCAATTATTTTCTAAAATTTCTATTCAAAATTAATTATCCAAATTTTCAATCAAAAAAATGAACTTAAATTCAATTATTATCCAAAATTTCAATTAAAATTCAATTATTTCCAAAAATTTTCAATTCAAAATGAACTGAAATTCAATTATTTTCCAAATTTAAAATCAAATAAAATTTCATTATTCTCAAAAATTGGAATTCAAAATTAATTGAATTTTCAATAATTTGAATTTAAAAGCATCTAAAAATTTTATTATTTCTAAAATTTTCCATCGAAAATTTTTTTTTTTTTGAAATTTAATAATTTCAATTATAACTATAAGGAAATTCAATTATTTTTAACTATTTTAATCTATTTTAATTCTTTGAAAATTCAATTATCTGAAACCATTTTTCAATTAAAAAGTATTTTCAAATTATTGTATTTTGTCCGCATTTTCTAATAAATTTTTAGTGAAATCATCTAAAATTTTATTTACAAAACACTTAAAGTTTCAACTAATTTCAAAAATCTCAATTTTAAATCTTTGCTCTCTAAATCTGAATTAGTAAAAATGTTTTCTAATTTGAATTAGTGACTCACTTTTTGCTTCTGAATTAGTAAAATTTTACTAATTATTAGTAACTTTTACTAACAATTAGTAAAATTTAACTAATTCTAAAGCAAAAAGTGAGTCACTAATTTAAATTAGTAAACATTTTTACTAATTCAGATTTAGAGAGTGAAAATTCAATTAAATTTAAAAAATGTTTTCCAAAAATTGTTTGATAAATTATTTTTAGTTCTGTAAAATTTAATAATTGTTTGAAAATTAACAATATCTTTTGAAATTTAATTATTTCTAAAAATTTCCACTTTAACCCATCGAAAAGGATTATTATTAAAAAAAAATTTTTTTATTTAAAAATCTGTAAAATATTTTTGTTAAAATAAAAAATAAATCCACTTTTTTTTGGAATATAAATCGACTAAATCGACTTTTTTGTGTCTTTAAGTTGATTCGAGGCCTGTGTTTTTATAATTAATATTTAATAGGTATTCGTTGGCCCCTGGTACTTTAAAAATTAATTTTTAAAAATAAATTTTTTTCAAATTACTATTTTGTACGAAATTTCCTGGCGCATCTTTTTTCTCATCATAAAGTTTTTGTACAATTTTTGAATCAATATACAACTTTAAAAAAAATTTCGTTGGTAAACGTTGTGTACTTCAGCTTCGTGAATTGAATTTTCGAATTTGGAATTTTAAAGAAACTTATTCCGAAATTTGGAAACACAATTATACAACTTTTGGCAAAAATGAGAAAAAGAATTGTCAAAATTTGACACGTCATAAGATTACTATTCAAAAAAAAAACACGTAAAATCAGAAAAGGCCAACTTCAAGTTAGGACAGAAGGACAGACCAAGCATTTTATTATTATATAATTGGAAAAATAATAAATGATATCTAAAATTTTAATTAATATGAAACATTATTTATTTAATTCAAAAAATCAGTTAGACTATTATTAAATAACTATTTATTTTTATTTCATTGTTTCCAAATTCATAAATTTTTTTTTACTTCTGGTCCCTATTTTTAGAGCGCGTCATATTCAATTATAAATTATTTGAATGAAATAAATTTTTTTTTTTTCATAATGCTGAACTTTTTACATTAATAAATTGTAAATAAAAACTAAAAATAGAAGAAAACATTTTTCTAATTTCTCAAACACAATAATTATAATTTTCTCATTATGAAATTGCTCCTCTAATATATGTTAATTTCAAGTTTATATAATCATCTCTAATTTAGTTAAACAAGATCATAAAGATGGAAGAAAAGCAGGCGAATAAAAGTGAAGTTAAATTCCATTTTCTTGATTGCAAACTTGCCTTTTAAATGAAAATTGGCTTTATTATATAATGTCACAGGAATGTTATTAAAAAAAAAAGGGTAATCAAATTAAGCCTTTTTTTTTGGGGGGGGGGAGAAAATGAAATTTTTCTTGAGAAAAAAAAAAAAATAAAACAGTTTTGAAAATTTGTTAAGGTGTACGAATTTTCGTTATAAGTATGTAGAGGATGGGTCATATATAACAGGAAACTAGACGTTAGACTTAGGGGATGAACGTGCTCGTTGCAGGCTACAAATCTAGCCATGAGCCCAACGGTGATGGTATATACCCAGATACCACCGCCATACAGATGTAGATATAAGATGGGCGCATGTATTATGCATATAGAGATACATGGCGAAACACTGAGAGATACAACACACATATATGCATTGCGTGTGTCAAGAGAAAAGATTTATTCAAGTTTCATGTCGTTATATATATATATATTATCCTCTCTCAATTACAATTTCACTCAATATAGTTACATATTTCTTTATCATTTTTCGCAAATATTTATTATTTCAAATTTTTTCACATTTTCTTGTGTAATGTTGCAATAAATAATTTTTTTTCTCCAAAAAAAATTTAGCATTAAAAATTATTATTTTTTGTTTTATAACAAATTTTGAGTAAAATTTCATAATTCAAAACAAAAGGAATAAAATTTAACTTCGTATTGATTACAAATTAAATTTTAAGATTTAATTGAATGAAAATTAATCTTCAAAATGATTCGTAATTATTTGGAAAGAATTATATTATTATTTTTTTTTTTTTAACGTAGAAATTTAGATTTGAATAAAAACTGATTGGCTTTGAAAATATAAATAGAATATGCCTCTCTATAATATATCAAAACTGATTGAACATTATAATTCGAAAATTTTGTCAGAGAAGAAAATTGTGGGCGATTATTTTAATACAAAAATACATTACAATAATATATGTAACGCTTTTATATTTATCGAAAGGTTAAAATAATTCCATCAAAAGATTAAAATTGCAAATTATCAAAAATTTGAACTCAAAAATTCAAAAACGAATTTAATTCAAAAAAATAATATTTCAATTTTTTATAGTATGAATTAAATCTGTCACCGCCTTTTTAATATCTCATTTAATTTACTGTGGCAATGAAAAACAAATTATAAAAATTAAATTAAAATTGGTAAATAATAAAAAAATTCTCATTCTGCCTCTAAAGCAACAAAAAGTAAGAAAAAATTTCGGTTATTCAATGAGAAAATAAATTAGAATTAAAAATATCTTTTTTTTGTTAAAAATCAATTTGCAAAAAAAAATTGTTTAATTGAATAAATAAAAGTTTTTGAATGAAAAAAATGAGAATCTTGGAATTTAATTTAAAATATATTATCTGAAAAGAATGGAAAATGTGTATTCGAATTGGATGATGCGAGTTAATTGGATAAAATAGTCATTTGTTTACGTTCAATTTTCCAATAGGGGCAAATATTGATATATGAGTTTAAATATGCGTATATACATTGTATAGTTTAGATATAGTAGTGCATACATGATATACCTATATTATAGCGAATTTTATTAGCTAATAGCTTTTTGATTTTCGCATTCTGTGGGTCCATTAATGTTTGTGCACACGTGTATATTATAGTTTATAATGAAAATCGAGCTTCGATTAAAAGCATCGAAAACTGATATTCGCGTGTTCACCCAAAGAAATCAGATTTGTAAATTGATACAAAAATTTTAATTATAAAATATATTCAATCAGAACCCAAAAGAAATGAAAAAAAATTTTTTTTAATAAAATTATATATTTTTTTTTTTTGTATCCACTGGGAAAAATTTGATTATTGTAAATCTAATATAAAGGTAAAAAAATTTACAATATCTCCCTTTGGCAAAATTAGATTCAAAAAATAAAAATATATTTTTTTCTATAAAATATTTTTTTCCATTAAAAATATAATTGCATGAAATAAATTTGAACGTTAATTAAAAAAAAAAACATTCACTTGAATCCCTTTTACTTTATATAAAGAAAAATTAAAAGAATTTTAAAAAAATACTCACCGACAAAAACGGCAGTGCTGTTATGCTGAGGGTTATAGGGACACAAGCCAAGACCATCCATGTCCTTTTCACTTACGTAAACGCCATTCTGAAACAAAAAAAAAATAAATAAATAAGAAAATGCGTTTACTTCTTGTTACATCGCAAGAGAGAAATATAATAAATTGAACATTTCTTCACGAGGATTTTGCTTCATCTTGGAAATTAACATTTGCGTGTGAATAGAAAATGGGGAAATATATATATAATATTATAAAAGAGAATGGAAAATGGGAAAGAAGAAAAAATAAACGAGGTACACTATAATCTCTTAAAGTTAACAATTTGTAATGTTTCAAGTTAGGAAGCGTGAAGATTTTTAGTGCCCTCTAATTTTAAATACTAAAAAGGTTTTTGCGTCGTTAAAAAAAAAAAAGGAAGAGAACTAAAAACCTCTTTGCGCGCGTTTAATGCGAATGCTTTAAGATTTAATAAGTTCAATCTTTGGAAAGTTTTCACTGGGGAACTTTTAAACTTAAGAATTCCAAAGTAAAGGTGCATCTAATTTAGAACCGGTCAAACTTACTTCAAACATTATCTGTCTGAATTCAAAATTTTGTCAGGCTACGACAATTTTCAATTCAAAAGTTTATAATCAGAGAGTCCATAGAGTTTAAAGTTTATTTAATTTAGAAACTTGTCAATTTCAGTTTAAAAACGAATATTCAACGCTTTTGAATTTTACATAATATAATTAAAGTTAAAAAAAAATTTATTTTATACAGAATGTCCGGGAACATAAATTTTTATTTTTCTAAAGGTTTTTTGATATTTATTTTCTATTTAAAATAATAATTAATTTTTTTTACTGAAAAAATTTTTTTTATATAATTCCCATAAAGTGAAATAATTTCTATATAATTATCAGGAGTAACAATTTTCTGTTTAGATTTTATTGGAATTTGAAGAAATATTTTGTTTTTACAATTTTTGTCTCTCTTATAAACAGTTCATTTTTCCTCAATTACGCGAGGAATTTTTATAGTACTATAGAAAGACGCATGAAAAAGCATATAAACCGTTTTGCAGTCATTAAAAGCAGTTTTCAAGATTTGATTTTTGTTTATATGCTTCAGGTGTCTGTGAATACTATTTCCTCGAATATCTAACGTTACTCAGATTGTGCGCAAATTCTCTTATATATATATATATTTTTTTTTTATAAAAATGCTAACCTTTTGGTATTTCAAGAAATGTCTATTACGCTTTATACAATAAAGTTTTTACTGAAAAATACCATAAAGACATTGTATCCTTTTTAACATTTATATAAAGAATGAAAAATCCCAAACATTTTTGTTATTCGAAAAAAATTCACAAGCTTGAAATATCGATATTTTCTTCTTTATTTTTTATTCTGTAATTTATAATAAATTTGTAAAATCAGAATTTTTCTTCATTTTAAAAATTAAAGAAATGAATTTTTTATTAATTTTTTTTTTCTTTTTTTTTAAGAACAGATTTCAATAATAATTATTTATTGAAAGTTCACAAAGGAAATATTGAAAAAAAAAAAAATTTTATCTCTTTTACGGTATATACTTCATTTTTGTGATTAAATATTTAGAGACGATGTTTTAAATTGGAAAATTTTATCGGATGTAAAGTGCCACTTTCATGTTTCTCTCCGCACATATTTAAAATATAATTTTCATCATTTCGAGTAATTTTAGGTACTTGCGCGCTCATTTCTGTCCAAGCAGAAAGCATTTATTTTATATATATATATATAGGTAAATATTCCGCAAGTTTATTAAAAATTTCAATTTTCAGTCTCTGGGAAAATTTAACCAAAATTATAATTTTTTGGAACACAATTACACAAATTATAAAATTTCTTATATTTTTAATTAATTAATTTATATTTTTTTTTTCTTTTAAAAATATATTTTATTTTACTCAAAAATGGAAAGTTATTTCTTTTATTGCGAAAAAAAAAGTAAATTGGAAATAAAATGTACTTTTTCATAATTTTTGGAAAAAAAAGTCTATATGGTATAGTAAAAAATAAATATGGCCTTTGAGTGCCTGGGTATAAAAATTTTTCGTTTTCCTTTTCGATAAAAAGTAACATTGAGAATAAAGAGGGGGTTGAAATTTTCCAACATTGGAAATTGCAGTGAACCACTTATTCAAACTGTCGGTGTACTTGCCACTTTCTTTGCTTTTTTTCTGCTTTCTCTCTCATTTCACCCTTACTTGCATCTTTCTCTCTCTCTCTCTATTTACCCCTTTTTTCCCTCCCTTTAAGCCACTTTATTTCCATTCCGGTTGCTGCATGCTCTATTTGTAGTTCAACCTCTTTTCCTTCCACTTCTTGACCCTTCGCGAATGAAAAGTGTATATATATATATATAGAATAAAATTGAGAGAGGAAAAAAAAAATTGAGAAATGGAGATCTTTTCGTATTAGTAAACATTCCATTCAAATAGTTGCATTCTCTTTCTCGTTTGCCTCGTTCTTCAAAAATTCTGTTGATCTATTCAATTGCCTCGAAAAATGGAACCATACACGGAGAAAAAGAAAAAGTAATTTTTACTACTTTCAGAGTAAAACTGGACCAACTCGAATTTTCTGCGCATCTCTGGCAATTTTTACTCCAAAAATAGTAAAATCTATTATTTCTATAGTAAATTTTACTGTTTCCGTAGTAAGTTTTACTATTTCTAGAGTAAATTTTACTATTTTTGGAGTAAAAATTGCCAGAGATGCGCAGAAACTTCGAGTTGGTCCAGTTTTACTCTGAAAGTAGTAAAAGTTACTTTATAAAAGAAATCTTTTTTCTCCGTGTATATAAGAAATTCATTTTTTCGAGAATTATTATTAAAAGGAAAGTTAAATGGAAAATGCATTTTCTAGCTAATAGATTTTAAATCACTTTTAATTGATATATACTATATACTACATTTTTGATTTCATTTTCTAAAATTTCTTTTTAATTTTTAAAATTATAGAAGAAAAAATAAGAAAGAAATGAGAAAAATTGAAATTTATGATAATGACCATGAAAATTGACGCAGTATATATAGAAAAAAAAACTGCGCACAGGTGAGGAAGATGCGATTTTGGTTGGTACGTGATCCAGCGTTTGAAACATATATTGTATAGACAATGTTTCCCAATTCTTTTATTCACCTTTTCTTAACTCTCAAAAATTTTCCATTGCTTCGTGCCTGGTTTTCTCTACAGACCCAAAAAAAAAGAAAAAAAAAAAAAAAAAAATGAAGTGAGACGAACTTTGCCAAGCACGTCTTTTCATGTTCTTTTTCGAAAACGAAGAGAACATTGTCAGCTAAACCTTATTCTCTTGTTTTCTCTATATACCGAAAAACCAATACGTATGCAACAAGGATGGCCTTACTTTAATTTCGAGAATTGTTCTCCGCAAGAGAACTCGCAGAAAGTTAAAATCCCTTTTCATTCTCAAATTGAATGCATTTTAAACTATTTTCTATTCTCAACGAGAAAATTTTTCCTATAAACCAAAAAAGAACTAATTTTCAGTTATTTTTTTTTTTTTTAATTTTCTTTACATTAAGCGCGATAAAATATTTCCATTCGAAGTGATAAATGACAGTACTTTAGAAAAAGATTTATTTGTAATTTAATTTCCACAAGGGTTGAAATATTTACATCCTTTTTAAAGTTTAGTATATGTATATATATATATAAATAGTACTATATCTACATACAAAAAACGTATTCTTGTATTTATGAGAATGCAAGTAACGCGAGAGAGAAACACCTTAAAGTGGAAAATGGTCCATAGTTGTACACATACACACATCTCGCCCCCCCCCACCCCTCCATCAGTTAAAATACACAAACGGTGAAAAAGAGATTGCGAAAATACGCTGGTAAAACTTTTGCAACAATCTTTTTCCGTAATATTCCCGAAGGTGATACCTTTCATATCACACCTATACAACCTTGCCAAGAAACTATTTTGCCCTCGCAGCTTATATGCAATTTTCCTCCTTTTTCATATATATATAAAAAAATTTTCTAAAAGGCCAAAACAATTCGTTTTTTTTATGAAAAAAAAATGTTTATCTCTTTTTTTTACGATTTAATTAAAACAATGATAAATTTTTAATAGAAAGTTAATTTTTTTTTAATTTTTACCAAATTTTATAGAATGGAAAAAATTATTTTTGGCTGAATGTTATGAAACGAATTTCAAATTTTATAAAATACTTCATTAATAATTTAATGAATATGAAAATAAATTTTATTTATTATTTCTATTTTATATTTCAATATTTAATTTAATAATAGATAATTGCAAAATTTTCCTATATGTATATATATATATATATATATATATATATATATATATATAATATATAAAATAATTGATTATCATTTAATATTGAAAGCCTTTGATTTCGTATTTATCAACTAGCCCGTTGGCTATTACCATTATTATTATTATTATTTCAATATATGAATAATGCTATTATTATTATTATTATTATCATTTTCATTCCAAAGAATGAATATTTATATTTTTAGAAAAAAAGCATTCCGATTAATTAAAAAAAAATAATTTAAAAAAAAATTTTTTTTATGCTTAAAAATTTATAAAATTTTCAAAAATGAATTTATCAGATTTTGTCACTTATTTTATATTTATCTTTACATTTTATAATAAATGGATACAATATCGATTTCATTAATTAAACACTCAACTTTTAGTTCAAAATAGCAGAGATTATTAGAAAAGCAAATTAAACAATAATAGCATTAATATCATATTAATAAAATAATTTTATTTTTTATAAAATAAGTTAATATTACAATTAATTATTATTTATATTAATAATTCTTATTCTTAGTTTTAGATTATTCTTTAGTTTTTAAGAGTACTTTGTACGAAATGGGGCTTGTCCCGTTTATTTTAATAAATAAATAAATAATAATAATCAATTTTTAATTTCCACTGTTGCAAAATTAAATATTTACAACGAAAAAAATAAATGACTATTTATTATTTATAATAATCACTCATATTTAAAAGAATGAAAAGTAGTCTAAAAGAATTGCCC